TACCCAGAAGACCAGAGGACAAGAATGTTCTAAGTGTTTTTCAAATTTTATTGTATGTATAATTTCCAGCACCCAGTCTGCACAGATTCTGATTTTAACAGTTTTAGCAGAACTCAAAATTCTGCATTTTAATAAATCTCCTAGAGGAGAGTAAAAGAAAATGATGTGTAAAAACATACTTGCCCAAGTTCCTTTTCTACACTCCTATACCCTAAAGCGTCTATAACAATGAAATCCCTATGGAGAGCAAGATTGCTATACTTTTCCTCTCCTCTACTCCATTCCTGTAGTCCCCGGCATCATTGCCACCCATCTCAAGCCACCCCAAGTATCCTCTACCAAGCCATCTACCACAAATGACGCCAAAACAGTGCCTGGCAAAAAGTACAGCCCATTTTCTTTTGTCCTACAATCAGCATGGCTGCAAAATCAGGAATTTTAGAGAGGGCCTTATTCTTTGTTTTTAGTTATTGAAGCAAACATGGAAGAAATTGGCTTTGTTGTTTGTTGGAGTGAACATTTTTAATAACTTTTCTCATGACAAAATCAATATACATGTTGTTAAAATTCAAATAGCTACATATAAAAAAATGCAAAAATGTCCTCCTAATCTCTCGAAACAATATGGAATTTTTTCTATTCATATACAAACATATACACGAACAATATTTCTAATATGGAGCCAGGATAAGAATCTCTGATTTCAGCCAGGCACTAGAAAAATAAAAACAAATTAATCAAAATCAACTAGAAGTGAGATAAAGCTCACACTCTTAAAAATGCTATTATTTTAACCTATACCCTACCAATGGAAGCCTTTAAGCAAGTTACAAGCCTGTCATAGGGCCAGTGTCAAATTCCACACTGCTTTAGAACACAAAGAAATTAGTTTCTGCTGTTTAAGAAAAATCTTGGGTCATTCAAAAAAAGGTAAAAAGTCAAGCAGTTACTTAGCGCCTCCCTACCAAATACAAAACACTAAATCCAAGTCACAACCACAGTCATCTGTGGCCTGAATTGAGTCTGGACCCCTCTGCATCTGACCCCAAATTGAAACTGCACAGTTTGCAAAAATACCAAAACTGCTAAATCAAAATTATCAAAACTGCTAAATCCTCAGGGGAAAACTAGGATACCTGTGGTGCAAGCCTTTACTATGACTGCTGCCAATTTCAAAGCAGAAACGTACTGAAGAAATGGCCTCTGCGGGGATCAGGTAATAATAGCCCCTGCAGAACTGCCATACACGTGTATGCTACTAGTTATGAGTGAATCCAGAAAAGAGAGAAAAAAAACTTCCTAAGAATGTACAAAAATAAAGTTAGTAGCAACAAATCCTATCCCGCACAGGACCGAAAACAAGTGCAGTTCGGCCAGCAGCCGAGGTCCCAACAGTGGCTGCGCCCCTCCCCTGGCGGAGGAGGCTCCCCAGCCCGCAGCGGCTGCACCCACGGGAGTTGTTATAGTAACCGCAGTGACACAAGCCACGTCGTGTGCGTGCCGAGGAATTCGGAGACACTGCATACACTGGGCTCCCTGCTTCTTCCCGAGCAGCAGAAGCACATAGAGATCTCAATCCACGAACCCACCTGCAATTTCTGCAAAATCGGCTTGACTTCTTCCTCTTCATCAGCCATCATTTCCCAGCCGCTCTCGGCTTCTCCGCCCCAACTTTACGACCACAGAGACTCACACCCACTCGCTTCGCGGAGCCACAGCGACATCTAGAGCACTGGAGGCTCACCTGCCCCTGCGTAGAGAAGCCTGGCTCCAAACCCGCTTAGCCCGGTGCCTACGGTGCAGAGGAGATGCTCTGTACAGATCACTTCTCACTTAATGAGATTGTCTCTTTCCCTAGTCCTGGAAACAAAATTTTTTCAGGGCAAATGCATGTATATCTTGCTTATTTACACCGCGGTTTTATACCTAAAGAAATAAGACAGTTGGTGCCTGTGTGAAAAGTTGAAAAATGTGAAGCACGCGCGCCCTCTCGCTCCTGCACCTCTTCTTTCTTCTTCTGCCGCTCCTAGTGCAGCTTGTGTGCTGCTTGGGTTCAGTCCTGATACCTCCTTCGTGCAACGGTAGCTGACACTCTGGCATCCGCCGTGGTGGATTAAAAGCTTAAGGAAGGAGTCAAGGCTGAGAACAATGATCATATTAATTTGAAGGTGGCGGATCAGGATGGTTCTGTGATGCAGTTTAAGATTAAGAGGCATACCCCACTTTGCAAGCTAGTGAAAGCCTGGTGTAAACGACAGGGTTCGTCAATGAGAAGATCATATTCCGAGGGGCAGCCACGCTGCAACAGACGCACCTGGATAATTGCAAATGGAGGATGAAGATGCAGTTGATGTGTTCTAGCAGCAGACAGGTGCCTACTAAGAAGGGAACCGACTACTTTACCCCAGAATTCTGTTCCTCCAAAGACGACATCCTCAATTAGATAACCAGTTTGATTCCACCACATTCTAACCCCTGCAATATGGTTTTCTTTTGCTTTCATTTCCTATTCATTTCTTTATTGTACATAAATTGGTGTGCATTAAAAAAAATTAAAATTGAAGGAAAGCGGTACAATGTAAATCACAAGCTTTACAATGATTTCCTATATACGAGGAATTTTATACACATATCCTAATCAATCTACTACACTTGGGTGGTATTCTGAAAGCTACCATTTATATTAGCATACTAATAATGCTTATATATTGATAGACTATATCCTAAAGGACACATAATAAACGACTGTCTCTGAAGAGGGGAACGGAAACTGAGAGTTATTGGACAAAAATAAAACTCTTTCACTGTGTACACTTTTGAATTTTTTATGATGTATTACCTATTCGATAAGACGAATTTTTTTAATTAAAATTTTATTTCCGTATAGACTATCTCTAGAAGGGATATAAGTTACTGGCAACAGTAATTGATTCCACAAAGGGGAAATAAGTGGCTGGGAGACAGGTGTGAAAGGAAGATTTTTCATTCTGTCTTTATTGTACATTTTGAATTTGTATCATGTGAATGTATTAAACTCTTTAATTTAAAAACTTTTTAAAACATGGCATTTATATTCCTAACAGTTTCTCTTTTGTAGTTTTAATCATACCTGACTTTAATTCTGTGAACCAAACAAAGTTTCACGGCAGAAATCATGAATGAACAAAAAATTACTTCCTTAAATCATTTTCCAATAAAATTTAAAACTGCATAGGGAAAACAGGGTTCCATAATCTATAAAATCTGTGTGATTTTAAAACTTTTAAATCAAGATTTTTCATATTCTTCCTCAGACACCATTTTATTTTTTTATTATTTTTTTAATAATAAATTTTATTGTTATATTCCCCATACAATTGCAGCCCCCCCATTCTGACCCCAATCCCTCCCCTCCCGCCCCCGCCCCCCAAAAAAGTGTCTCTGGTTCATAGTTTTTTGTTGATTTTGATTTTCACTTTCTTATAGTTATTCATTTTCCTGGTCCCTTATTTAAGTTTTCTAGATTCCTGCTATGAGTGAGACCATCCGGTATTTTTCTTTTTCTTTTTGGCTTATTTCGCTGAGCATGATCCCTTCCAGCGCCATCCATGTTGCTGCAAATTGCATGTGTTTATCTTTTTTGAATGCTGAGTAATATTCCATGGTATATATGTACCACATCTTCTTGATCCAGTCATCTATTTTTGGGCATTTGGGTTGTTTCCAAAGCTTAGCTATTGTAAACAGTGCTGCTATAAACATAGGGGTGCAGGTGTTCTTTGGAATTGATGTTTCTGTGTCCTTTGGGTAAATACCTAGGAGTGGAATTGCTGGATCATATGGAAGCTCTATGTTTAGTAGGTCCAGAAATCTCCACACAGCTCTCCACAGTGGTTGGACCAGTTTGCACTCCCACCAACAGTGCAGAAGAGTTCCTTTTTCTCCACACCCTCGCCAGCATTTGTTGTTGCTAGTTTTTTTAATATGTGCCATTCTCACTGGTGTAAGATGGTATCTCATGGTAGTTTTTGATTTGCATTTCCCTGATGGCAAGTGATGTTGAACATTTTTTCATATGCCTGTTGGCCATTTGCATTTCCTCTTCAGAGAAGTTTCTTTTTAGCTCTTCTGCCCATTTTTTGACTGGATTATTTTCTTTGTTGTTGCTGAGTCTCATCAGCTCTTTGCAGATTTTTGTGATCAGTCCTTTATCATTAGTGTTGGGTGCAAAAATGTTCCCCAGTTGGTGGGGTTTCTCTTTGTTTTTGTTATTGTCTCTTTTGCTGTGCAGAAGCTCTTTAATTTGATGTAGTCCCAGCTGTTTATCTTTGCCTTCACTATCACTGCTTTGGGTGATGTGTCAGACACCATTTTAACTGGGGCACAGTAAAAAAAAAATTTTGAAGAACTTTTATGCTCTATACACCTGAAGAAAACATTACTTGCTTGCCATTCAATTATATAATACAGAGGTATTCACTTGCTTTTCTGATGATTAAAAATGAAATATCTTCAAGTGATTTCAATATGACTATCTAACTATCAATGGGATTTGGCATCTAGCATAATTTAATTCCTTCTTGAATCAATTAAGACTAAATCATAAAATGTAAGAATGTAAGGAAAATCTAATTTAATTAATAGCTCATTTTACAGATATAGAAAAATGGCCAAGAAAGTTTAAATTCAACCTCACACAAACAATAAGTGTATGGTGGGGGGAACTAGCTAGAACCATGTTTTGCCTTCTCAACCAGTATGCTTTGAAGTCTTACCTCTGATAAGATGTAAAGTTACTGCAAGCAACTTCAAATTTCTTTACTGGTTCTACATTTTAAATAAGTTATCTGTGATAGTAGTCAGAAATGCTTTCTACTTAATAAAGGATAATAAGTAATAAATCTCTAAAAGTATTTCAGTTAATATAATCTTTTGATCAATAACATATTAGCAATTTTTTTCATAAATACATTCCTAATTAAGAAATAAGTAGACCCAAGACAACTGGCAAAAAAAAAAAAAGTAATTTTATTTTAAAATAGATGTCAAAAAATCAACTTTAAAATAACTTTATCAATGTGAATTATCTTTAAATAAAAAAATGAACTCAACATTCATGTATCAAATCCTACTCTCATTCAGTAACATGAGTACACCTCCAAAAGTTAATACAATGAATATATGAATACATACAAATAAATGTACACACTCAAATAACAGACTCATCCACCATTTCCTGAAATCAAATTCTTAAAATAAATATACTGGCAAAATATCACTGTAAATAAACACACATACATATATTCAAAGACACCAGAACCAAAGCGGAGATGCAGACTTATAACACAGGTGCTTATGTACAGATACATAAACACATAGTTCAATCTGAAACAGTGCAGACAGAAACAAATGGTCTACAAAAGACCCAATAATATTGTAGCCTTTTCACTATTGGTGAAAACTCAACTGTTCACAATGAAATTGAGTCTAATAAAATGCTCATGCTTTACATAATGGAAATAGAGGAAAAAAAGACTCAGTTATTTCCCCCATCGCGACTAAGTTCCTTTTAAGTTGTAACTATGAAAACAACTTCAAAGACTTATATAAACAGGTTGGTGACAGCTAACTAGAATCAAGAATTTTTTGCTAAATGAAATCACTAAAAATAAACAGAAAACCATTCTGAGAAGTAAGCTAAACTCTTTTTACTTTAAAGGCCCTGTTAGAGACCTGCTGCTGGTCTAATTCACGACTTGGGGAGGCAAAACAAAAAAAGCTGTTGCTGGGTTCAGGTGCTGTGGGAGAACCCACAAAAAATGGTCTGAATTGAAACTCTCCATCTCCACCACAGCGATTTCGAACTGGTGTAGTATCCAAAGGAAATTTGGAGTTGTTCCCTAGGAAAAAAAATAAGGGAAGAAAGAACTTAAGTATCTATTTCCTTTAGGAACAAAAGTCATTCAATTAATATTTTAACAGAACTCAACTCTCATGACATAGATAAAATATAAACCTAATTTGGATAAAGAAAAGAAATATGATGGACCCCACCCCCTCCTCTGACCACAGTATAGTCCACACCTTCTTCTGCCAATGTACCTACTAAACATAAGAGAGCTAGTATCATCTAAGAGAGTGAACTTCCAGAGTGGGAATCTTATCTGGAAAATCTCTATATCCTCATTGCCTAGGGTCATGTCTAGCAGTCTGGTACAGCAAACATGTTTAATAAATATTTGATAATTGAATAAATAATAGGATGAATCAACAAAACAACCAATAATCACTTAATAGTTTTGCAATCAGTATTGCCAAGTGAAAGAACGATCTCTTGGAAGATAGGAAATGGTTAACAGTATGGGCTCTGAAGAGAGTTCTGTGCTTTTACCCAATTTAAGTTTTCTGTGCCTCAGTTTTCTCCTCTTTACAATAGGCAGACAATAATACTTATCTCAGTTTTGAAAACAACATGAATATATGTAAAATTATAATAGGACCTAGCACTTAGTAAGGAATAAATAAATGGCAGCTAACAATTACTTCAACTGGGGCCTCCCTCGTGGTTGCAAGAGTAAGATGCAGCACTATGAAGCAATCCACAGCCACTGCAGTACGAGTTTGATCCCCAGCCAGAGAGGTGACATACATGGCGCAGCAGACCTCTCCTGTCTCACCCACTGCTCCCCTCAGCAGTGTATTTCAGTCAGTCTGCCTGTTTTGCACCCCACTCTGTCTCTGGCTAATCCTCTCACCGCCCCCATCTCCGGCCTGTACCCCAGCTCTTGTATGCATAAATAAATGAATCTTTAAAAAAAAAAAAAACAAAGCAATTACTCCAACTAATTAGTTTTGCAAATTTATCTCAGGGAGATTTACTCTGCTCAAATTTAAGATTAACTTAAATGTAAGCCAATAAAATAGATAACAATAATGATGTGCATAATCAAAGATACCACTCTAGGCCCTTTGGAGTTCAATGACTGATTGGAACTATGCAGAGCACAAGGTGAAATATCACTGATTTAAAGAACAGGTTTTGAATATTACATGTCCTTTCTTACCTACTGGAAAGCCAAAAACACCAGATTGTGCAATCATGTTTGGTTCAAGGTTACCTTCTTGGTTAGCAATAGTGATGTTACGTAGCCTCAGGCTATCATACAGGCCTTGGAGCTTTTGATACTGCCGATTTCGCTCCATAAGTTTCTCAGAGATATCACTGAACTTTTTCTTGTACTCCTCTAGCACTTTCTTCATGGAGGTGACCTCCCCTTTCATAGAGGTCAATTCAACATCCTTGCTCTGTATTTGCTGAGTATATATCTTCTCCATCTGTTTCAGATGGCCCTCAGCCTTGCTGAAATTGTATTCTTGATAGAGACGCTCCTGATGTACCTGTCCCAAAAGATTTTTAAGATAATAGAGTTATATATTATAAAACTTTATCAAAAAGAAAAGAAATATATTTATACTGGGATATTAATTTTTTTAAAGATTTATTTATTTATTTATACAAGCACTGGGTACAGTCAGAAGCGCGGGGGTGTAAGAGAATTCACCAGAGCCAGAGTGGGGAGCAGAGCAGGCCAGAAGGACTGAAGTACACTGCGGAGGGGAGCAGCCGGCGGCAGGAGAGTTCTGCGCGCCATATGGGACCCTCCTCCGGTGGCCGGGGAGCAGCCAGGGATCGAACCAGCGCTGCAGAGGCTGCGGGCAGCTTCGCAACCCAGCGCTCAACCACTACATCACCAGGGAGGCCTGGGATATTAATATTTTAACTTTAGAACCAGGCTAAGAAGCAATCAGGATATGCAAGATGGATATTATAAAAAATATATATCTAAATGCTAAAAAAAAAAAATCTGAGGAATACTCTGAAATCATTATCATTATATTAACAAAATAAGTGAGGATATGTTTGATCTGAAGAAGTGACATGTAATGCACAATTCCTTAAGAAATATAACCCATATTTTCAGTAATCCATAGCACTGAGACAGATAAGAGATCTATCAATTATTCCTGCCTCCTAGTATTTATATCCTCTCTTTGAATGTGGACAGGACCTGTGACTAGAATACAGGAAAAAAATGACAGGGTATCACTTCAGGAGCACATTACATAAGACTATAAAGCCCATGTTACCAATAGATTTTCTCTCTTGCTGGGTTATGGAAGTCAGCAGCTACGTTGGGAAGCCCAGCAAAGCAAGTAACTGAAAGCAGCCTCTGGACAATAGCTAGCAAAACACTGAAGTCACAATGAATGTAAATATAAGCTTTATACCGTTCACAAAAACTAGTAGACTAACAGAATGAGTGCCTTGTCATTGTTGTTATTTTTAGGAAGTGAATGAATGATGCCAACAATGGCATGAACTTGGAAGCAGATCATGCCCCAATCAACACTTTGATTGCAGTCTTGTGAGACCCTGAGCAGAGCCCATGTCTGGACTCTCAAATCTCAGAAACCAAGATTATAAATGTGTTATTTTAAGCCACTAAATTTGTTATTTAAGTCACCATGCATGTTACACAGCATTAGACAACAACTACACACAAAAACCACTTTGGTTTTCTTTGGATTCACTGTCCTTTAAATATGAAAGTATTTAAGAAAGTAAAATATGCGCACCCTTTCTTTTAAACCAATTTTATCTTTTCTATAGTTTGATGTAACTCCACCAAGCCTGGGTCTATTATGTGGTTCCACAACAGTCTGTTATGGAAACACTGCTTTTGGAAAAAAGAAAATTTATTAAGAAAGTTTTCCATAGTCATAAAAAATAAACACAAAATGAACAAAAAACATGAGAATCTCCACATATGCAAAATCATAGCCTCCAGAGAAACTATCCTTAAGCACTAACCTGGTATGTCCAGAAGGCCAGTGCTCGGGAGCTAATGTCCAACACAATTTCAGGCCGAAGTCCTGCCAATACCATGGCCTTATACTCCTCAGATGGACTGAGTTCTGTGCGGACAATATCTAGCTTTCCAGAGAGGGTACTATTGCAGGCAGGGCAGATAGCAGGTGAACGACTAAACTCACCACTGCCATGCTGGTCACAGAAGATGTGTGAGCAGGCAGTGACCCAGGCATAACCAGAGAGTTTGATGCGACATTTGCGATAATTACAAAGCAGCATGTCTTCACACAAAGACATAATACTGAGGTCTCCAGGTGCCGCAATGAATCCTAGTAAGGGACAAATGAAAAAAGTCAGATTGCAGAGAAATGAAAGGAAAAAAATGGGTGTTTTCATTTTATTGTGACAAAATTGCATACATTTTATTTTTGTTTTGTTTCCATTATAGTCAATAGATTGTACTGATTTCAATTACTCAATATTAATTGCACACCACTACAAAGGTCATGAAATACATTGTAAAGAAAAAAATTAAAATCCTGTGTACCTCCAAATCTTATTAAATTAAGGTCAAAAATATGTCATGGGGAGTAACTATTGACACATTTAGGAAGTAGAACCAAATAAAATTAGCATTTTTTGCCATTCCTCAATACCTAAACAAAAATCGAATATTACCATTCATAGCTAGCAAGAATATATTAGAAGCATTTCTGACACTTGGCAGATTAAAAACGTCCAAGACATTAATTTCAGTCATTCTTTTTTTTTTTTTTTTTTTTTTTTTTTAATATGCTTTATTTATTTGTTTGCTGATACATGCACTGGTACAGTCAGAAGCGCGGGAGGGCGAGAGAATTACACTGCTGAGGGAGCAGCTCTGCGCATGTGGGACCCTCCTCCGGTGGCTCGATTCGCAATCAACAGGCCCTTCAGTCATTCTTTCTTGCAAAGTATTTCAAGCTACTTTTTTTTTTAGGTTTATTTATTCATGCATACAAGAACTGGGGCACAGGCCAGATGTGCGGAAGGGTGAGAGGATTCACCAGAGACAGAGTGGGGAACAGAACAGGCAGACTGACTGAAACACACTGCTGACGGGAGCAGCGGGTGAAACAGGAGAGGTCTGCTGCGCCATGTTGGTAGTTCCCAGCCGACCGGGATAGAACCCACACTGCAGAGGCTGCACAGCTCCACAGCGCTAAGCTCAACCCTTTGTGCCCACCAGGGAGGCCCGGATTTCAAGCTACTTTAAGGTTTTTCATGTAAGCTGATTTCTCAGATTCTGTGTTGTCTGACTTTAAAAAGAGCAGTAACATGACAGTATTAGACGGAAATATGCATAATTCATCCAAGTGATTGACCATTATGAAGCCTGAATGTCTGCACAACAGGTTATTTTATCATCAGTTAAACAATACACCTATTTATACAAAAATCAATTCGGTGCTACACTCCTATCTAAAACATTTGTAAAAAGAAATAAATATTCTGGGTTAAGTGACCCACATCATATTGTCCGTTCTCACTGGGTTTTACCCAAATTAGGCAGTGATATCCCGGATGTACCAAAACAAAGTCACGTTGTATAACCTAACTCTGACTCACCAGGGAAAATATACAGAGCAAATATGCTCACGTTTATCAACTGACAAAGTCACCCAAGAAAGCAGTCTTGGTCCTAAGGGTGGACAAGGACATTCGGACACCTTTATCCCAAATATCCCGTCTGGGCGAAGTCTCCACAGGTATAAGGCACCTGCCAGGCGGGCTACGAAGCCTATTTTACCTCCAAGAGGTCATGGGCAATGGGGCAGCAGAAGAGTCGCACAGTTTTTAAACTGAGACCCTTCTCAGGCAGAGCGTGGGACGCAGCTAATCCCAGATTTTCTACGAGCCAGTCTCGGGAGTTCCCCAAATTGTGGAGGGGCAAGTTTTTGAGACTAAAACTCAGGAAAACTTCACTTTGGAATCCTCTCAGTTTGCTTTCTGCACTCGGTAGAGAAAATAAATGTTAACATAATACAAAGAAAACAGTAACCTCAGGCGCCAAGAAAAAGCGCGGGAAAACGCCGTTGCCGCCACGACTCCAAGACGAGACAGGATTGTCCGCGTGGGCGCGTAGCCACTAAGTCAGAGGCGCATGCGCGGAGTCCCCGAGGGGCGGGGGCCTGGCCGCTGAGGATCTCGGGATCCGAGGGGCTGTGGCGCCTGGAAGCGGCGGCGCACGTAAAGGCACGTCACCGGGTGAAGGGCGCGCGCCCGCCTGAGCCTGTCTGAACTGTCTGTCCTGTGGTTGAGCGCCCTTTCCTGCCCGCGACTGGCGCGAGCTATCATAGCTGTAGCATTTCAGGTCAGTCTCCTGAGGCAAGAGTGGAGGCGAGCAGTTGCGAAACTAACGGAGCGGGCCTGAACCCCGGCTTCTGAGTACATTTAGGTGTTTGCCCTGGGACATTTGGGGAGTACCAGAGGCTGCAGAGACTTTGTTTATAGTTTCAGAAAAATTCCCCCAAATTGTGCAATACGTATCCACCTCCAGGTTGAGGTCGATTCTCACTTTTAAAAACTCCCGTCTTGCAATCGACAGCTTTTACTCATCCTCTATACATTTAAAGGAAATAGGACTTTGACTTATAATTTGCATTATGAACATTTATTGCATTTGAAATGAAGAGATCAGGTATCACAGCTTGAGGTGATCTGCCTATGTGATGTCTCGGACTTGGAATTGCTTGTTGTGCCTGTTATACCCTAATGCTGTTACCTGTCACTTTGTATCCTGTTTACTGTACGATTTTGTTTATTAAAATTTATACTAGAAAATTAAGCTGAAGTGGGGGCTTTGGGAAGTAAGGCTTAATGCCATTTTTTTGGTAACCACTGTCCAAGATGATATGAACCCACTATGAATTAGTAAGATAGTCCAATAAATCAGCAACAGAATGCACACCAAGCCCTACAAAGCCCTTCTTCAAATGAAAATTTATCCTCATTAAACAACTTTCTGCTAGTCTATTTCCAAATCTATTGCTAGCAATTAGTTAAGTATCATCTTGGCCCTGTGTACATTTCTAAAATTCATTTGAGAGTTTGGAGTGGTAACTTTTTTTTTTTTTTTTATAGAGGCATGTTTTATTTATTTGTTTTTTTTGTTTGTTTTGTTTATACATGCACTGGGTACAGTCAGAAGCGCAGGAGGGTGAGAGAATTCACCAGAGCTGGGAGCAGAGCAGGCAGATGGAGCGAAGTACACTGCTGAGGGGAGCAGCGGGCGGCAGGAGAGGTCTGCGGCCATGTGGACCCTCCTCCGGTGTCCGGGGAGCAGCCGGGGATCGAACTGGCGCCTCAGAGGCCGCGGGCAGCTTCGCAACCCAGCGCTCAACCGCTGCGCCACCGGGGAGGCCCTGGAGTGGTAACTTAATTCTAATTTAGTAATACAAACTGGACTCAAAGAAAATTGGTGAATCATGGGTAAACATGTAATTGCTAACATGTTTGGCTATCTGAACTTTTGTGCATTTTATGGTTTTAACTATGCAATATGCAGAACTATTAAAAGAACAGAAAAGGATAGTCTCATTTAAAGCTATTAAAAAAAAGCATTTAGGGCCTCCCAGGTGGCGCAGCAGTTGAGCGCTGGGTTGCGAAGCTGCCAGCAGACTCTGCAGCGCCGGTTCCATCCCCGGCTGCTCCCCGCCACTGGAGGAGGGTCCCACATGGCGCGCAGACCTCTCCTGCTGCCCGCTGCTCCCCTCAGTCCTTCTGCCTGCTCTGCTCCACGCTTTGGCTCTGGTGAATTCTCTCACCCTCCCGCGCTTCTGACTGTACCCAGTGCTTGTATAAATAAATAAATAAATCTTTTAAAAAATTTAAAAAAAAAATACTAATTCATAAAAAAAAAGCATTTAAAATTGACCTAACTTTGTGATCTTAGCCACTTAACAGTGCTGCAGTGATTTCTCCCTACTTCATCTTTCTATTGTGCTTAGTAATACCCACCTAGTTTTCTCTCTAAATTAGTTTCCAACCCATGAATGTGTGTATACATATAAAAACAATTACTTTGCTAACATTATTTTCTCAGATGAAAAAAAAAGTGAGGGGAGACGTCTAAGGCCTTAGTAGTCAGAACACCAGGAACTGATGTGGCATGTGTCCTATGGCACTGGCTCACCCTAGGGAGCTCCGGGGGATGAGATCACTGAAATCAATCAAGTCAGGATACACAGACCCATCCAACAAAAGAGCTTTAAAAAATGTCATTATTGTGAAATATCAAGTATATCAAAACCTCATAGAGAATGACCATCACTCAACTTTAATAAACTCAGCCTTTAGCACATTTGATGCTTTTTTAATGAAGTAATACCTTTTTGACAAAATTGAAGCCTCCGGTATGTACACCTCAATCCCATTTTCCTGCTCTCTAGAAGTAAATAAGCCAGATTTTGGTGTTTCTCATTCTCATGTATGCTTTCACACTTTTAGTATATGTATATGCACCATTCTTGTATTACATGTTTGAAAACTACTAAACCACAACTCTTAATCACTTAGCCATTTTTTCCAATTCACTGTTTTTGAGGCATAGTAAAATTAATAATATACCTTGTATTAACTCATTTACCAGACAAGTACTGCAAATGTATCACAATTTATTTATCCATTTTTCTAATGGACATTCATTCAATGTTTATACAATTAAAAACAATACTGCAGGGCCTCCCCAATGAACTTTGTGTACATGTCTCCTTGCCAAGAATTTCTATAGAACAGAAAACCCAGAGACTGAGTTAGTGTATAAGCATCTCCAAATAAACTAGATATTGCCAGACCATTCTCCAAAGCAATAACAAATTTCGTCAGCAAAAGTAATAGTCCATTGCTCCAAACTCAGCAACACATTAAGAGTCAGAATTGTTTTTCATTTGTACCTATCAGATAGCAGTGAAATAGTTATCTCAATGTTTTTTTTTTTTTTTTTTAAGATTTATTTATTTATTTATACAAGCACTGGGTATAGTCAGAAGCGCGGGAGGGTGACAGAATTCACCAGAGCCAGAGCGGGGAGCAGAACAGACAGAAGGACCGAAATACACTGCTGAGGGGAGCAGCGGGCTAGGCAGGAGAGGTCTGCGCACCATGTGGGACCCTCACCGGTGGCCCGGAAATGAACTGGCGCTGCAGAGGCTGCGGGCAGCGTTGCAGCCCAGCACTCAACTGCTGCGCCACCAGGGGAGGCCCTCTCAATGTTGTTTTAATATGTAGTACTTTATTCTGGGCTAGGCTTTAAGGATGAATTTATAGTCTAGCAAAGTATCTAAGAATTTTAGAAGAAAAGTATTTAACTCTTTCCTTTGCTGCCTCTTACATTTTTGTAAGCTATAACCATTTCTTGTGAGAAAGTCAGCTTCCATCTTTAATTTGAAGAGTCATCCATCTTCATGCTGCAAAGAAAAAGAAACTTTTAACACTGCCCCAAATAATGTGTAAAAAAAAGCCACTTACTAGAAAACTGTTTAAAATTTAAACATGAATGACTTAGGAGTATAATGTAACTCTCCCAGAACTAATTGACAAGAGCTCTTTCTTTCATAGCCCTAAGTCAGTGTTATTCAAATACTATTGCAATCAAAGGATTCTTTAAAACTCATGTTTGAAAATTAGGTGTTTTTTTAATTGCAAGTATATCTTCTTAATCTGGCATACACCATTTGCTTTGTAATTGTTTGACTCCGCAAAAATCAGAAGGCACTAACGGACAGCCAACCCATCCCCTGGTGCCCTGAGTGAAGACAAGTCAGCTTACATATATGATGGACTAAAATCCCACTACCTAAGGCTCCAAGTAGTGAGAGGAACAGCCATCAAAGTTTATCTCCAAACATTTTAATAAAAATTAATATTTTAAGAAAACATTTCCTGTATTTCACCCTCATATGTACCCTGATTTTCTGCTGAAATATGCAGGCACCTGTAAAGAGTATAAGTCTGTCCAGTCTAGTATGCTTAAAGTAACTTTTTAGTTATATAATGCATCAATATAATAAAGTCAACAAATCCAGGATAACAAAATGACCCATAGGACCCAAATTCTGGTATTTGAGTATATCCTTTCAGATGAATTCTCAAGTAAAACGAAAGCATATGAAAGTGTCAGCAGAAAAGGAATTTTATATACCCTGCTCCATAAATTGTTTCAAACTTAATGTATCATAAATACCCTTCCATCTCAAAAAAGATAAACCAGTATCATAACTGTGAAGAGACTGTATAGTGCTGCATTATATGATCTTGATGAAATTGATTTCACCTACTCTGACATTCTCAATTTTATATATTAGTTTAAAATTGCCAAGTGGTTGAATTGTACCGATTATCAGTGCTTTTTCTGTAGTATTTGAGTTTTACATTGTAAGGAGTCTGGACCATACTACCTCTATCTCAGAGATGGCACAAAGAAAGCATGACAAAGTATTGTTTGTAGAGTCAAATTCTTAATTCAGAAATTTAAGAATTATCTAGAATCATGGGCTAGATCCTACTAAGAATTCCAAGAAGCCTAGCTTTCGTCTGCTGAGAACGTGTGTTTAAATGAGAGTATCAGCTGAAACATAGACTTACCATGTATTTTGTCATGGCAAACTGTTGATGATTAGTGAAGGGCATACCACCAAGCATCGCTCCCCCAAATCATAAGGAAACCCTCTTATGATTAAAATTAAGGCAAAATCCTAAAAAGAGAAGAGGAATAGGGAAGAATTCATAAGATTCAGATAAATGAGTGTAATTCACCAACCCTTTTTTTTCAAAGTATGTTTCAATTGCACTTGAGCCAGTGCTGATTGTATTTAACTTTCACTCTTGGTCAACTTTTATTATAACAAAATAAGGAAAACCCTCCCTTGACATAGCAAAATTTAATTAGCATAATTTGGAGCCCAGGTTGGCTACAAGATGGCAATATAAGAAGCTTTAATTTCCTCTTCCTTCCCAAGTATTAAATGAATTTAGAGATGAAACAGACCCAGGTCATCGCTGCAGGCAACCTTCAGACTTCCCTATTCTTCAGCTAAATGCTAACTAGAAAATTTTTGTATTACATTCAATGATCATTTAAAACTTAATAAAAATTATATCTTTATCATGTTCCTTTACATACAGCATGTAGAGCCATAACCTCAAATACAATCAGGCTTAAAATACAAGACTCAGGAAAACACATGTTCACAGTAAGTACCCAATAAATGGTAGAAAGAACATGTTAAGAATCATTGGCCAAAGGAAGGCTTCATGAAGAAAATAAGGCAGATGTTGAGTGGACCTTAAAATTGCACTTTAATATTCTATATTTGGCAGTTGCTAAGAGAGATCTTAGAATTTCTCATCACAAGAAAAAAATTGTAACTAGGTGTGGTGTTGGTCTATAACTAGACTTAATGTGGTGAAAATTCACAATGTAAATAAACATCGAATCATTATGTCATAGACCTGAAAAAAATGTTAAGTTTATCTCAATTTTAAAAGTACATTGTCCAATATCACCTTTTAAATTAATTAAAATTAAACTAAATGTTAAATTCCTGTCACACCAGGAATGCTCAATCACCACTGTGGCTAACAGCTACTACATCGGGTAGTCCAGAGATCAAACACATCTCCACAGAAATTTATTTGACAGCAGTGCTTTAACATATGGGTGTGAACAAAATAAACCGACAAGAAAGAAATAGTAGCAATCATTCTTTAAAAATTCCTACTACCTGTGAAGAACAAATGAAATTTCACTCAAACTTTATAACCTCATATTTGCTCCCCAAAATTTTGAGGTTCATAAACATTAAATTTCATAAGGTTACATAGCTATTAAGAGTAAGATTTAACTCCAATTCTGTCAAAACTCCATACTTGCACTTCAACATTCCACTTCCAACATAAAATAAGTAGAATATAATGAGAATGACATACTAACTCAATAGGTCAAAAACAAATAGGTGTTTTAAATATCTCAGATGTAAACAAAGGGTTATTTTACTTCTTTTTCATCTTATACTTGAATAATGCTTTAATTATATAAAATGTTTTCAGATCAGCAATATGTGAGGTTAACTAAAGGAAGAAAAACAGGAAGCAAGACATGACGTCAGGGGTTTCTATAGCCTGAACAATATACCTCAAAACTCCATGATCCAAGGACTTCTTTCAGGGGAACTTCTTTCAAAGGTACAACATCTCTATTGTCTCATCATTTTACAAAGGGCCTGGTCATTGTGTCCTTAGCTTCTAGCACATAAACCCTCATGTTAAATGCCTGGTTCCTTTCCAATGTTTGACGTTCCCTGTAGGATTCTAGTCACACTTCACCAAGGGTCACTCTACCTACCATGTGAAGGTGATTTCATATTTACTGAGTGTTAGGGAGCTAAAGTTAATATTTTGTAAATACCCCATAAACAATCAACGTCTCACTCATTTTATACACCATGGGCAGTACTTCAAAGTACTATTGCTCATGGCCAAAGGGTACATTTCATATGTGAACAGATAATTTCGAAGGCCTGACACAAAGTACACGTTAATTAGTACTAAATCAGTGTTTCCATTTTAAGAGTGTATTATCACTCAGTTATTCCTCAGTGCCTACTATGTATCTAGTATTATAAGATACAATGGTAATTCAAAGTCTATCTTTTTTAGACATAAAAGACATACACATGACACAGAGAAAGATTTTTAAGATAGCATTAGTTAAAGTTTAAGTACTTGCCTTTATGGTACCATTAGCCTTTAACCGTTCCTACTGATCATGTCCAAATCCCAGCCCACTTGATTTTTAGGGTATCTAAGGCAGATGCTTTGGAGGCTTTCCCAGTGCCACTTTGGGGCAGGAACACAGGGTGCTGAGGACCCAGGCCTGCCTTCCTTTTGGATTCCATCTTCAACCTGAAGAAAAAGAAAAACAATACAAAACTTTGTATAGAAAGTATCGATAAATGCTAAAGCAGTCTCTCCATCACATTCTCTCTTGGAGACAGCTCTATATAGAACTATCAAAACAGAGCCTCCCTGGTGGCGCAAGGGGTTAAGCACAGCACTATGAGGCAATCTGCAGCCGCTGCAGCACGAGTTCAATCCCCAGCAGGCCAGGAAGCAACCCACATGGTGCAGCAGACCTCTTCTGACTCACCCGCTGCTCCTCTCAGCAGTGTATTTCAGTCAATCTGCCTGTTCTGTTTCCCGCTCTGTCTCTGGTGTATCCTCTCACCCCCTGCACCTCTGGCCTGTACCCCAGCTCTTGTATGCATAAATAAATAAAAATCTATATATGAAAAAAAGAGCTATCAGAACAGACTCCAAGTTTTGCTTACCTCACACTATCAACTATTATGGCCAAGAATGTTTTCACTTCCAAATGTAGCAGGAATCCTCAGAGCATATGAAATAAAACTGGTGAGATCAGAAACAAAGATGAACCATGTAGCTCACTCAAAGTTCCACCCAGTCCATATCTCAGTGCAGGCAGAACAAATAAAAATGAAACAAAAATACAATACCTGAGGATTTGGATTAAGACAGGAGGAAGGGGCCTCCCTGGTGGTGCAGGGGTTAAAGTTTCAGTGCTATCAAGCTATCACCAGCCACTATGGCATGAGTTTGATCCCAGGCCACGGAGCTAACCCACATGGCACAGCAGACCTCTCCTGTCTCACCCACTGCTCCCCTCAGCAGTGTATTTCAGTAGATCCACTTGTTCTGCTTCCCACTGTTTCTGTTGAATCCTCTCCCCCTTCGTCCCCCCCACCTTCTGCCTACAACCTGGTTCTTGTATGCATAAATAAATAAAATAAATCTTAAAAAAAAAAAGACAGGAGGAAGGAATAATTTTAAAAAAGGATGCAAGAGGCAGTAAAATCTACCCTGTTAATTTGCTTTTTTATCAATTTCATACTACTTTACCTATCTTAGAATTTGTAAAGCATTTTCCCTTTATTACCTCATTTTGCAACTACAGTGTCATCTCCATTTCTCCATTTTATAGGTATGCAAGCCAGGTTTAGAGAATAAATGGAAGACAGCTTTGCAGTGGTTAAGATAATGAATTTTGGGGTCTCCCCAGTAGCGCAGCAGGTTGAGCTCGGCGCTGTGAAACTGTTCACAGCCTCTGCAGTGCCGATTCGATCCCAGGTGGCCAGCGAGAATTCCACATGGTATGGCAGACCTCTCCTGTCGCCAGCCTGTTCTGCTCCCAGCTCTGCCTCTGGTGAATCCTCTCACCCTCCCACACCTCTGGCTTGTACCCCAGCTCTCGTATAAAAATAAATAAATCTTTAAAAAAAAAAAATAGATTATGAAGTGAGACAACTGAATATGAATCCTGGCTCCTCCATGTATTTGCTGTGATCTTGGGCAACTGCTCTAAGTCTCATTTTCTCAATGAGGGCAAATACCACTGACCTCTTGGAACTATTATGAAGATTAAATGAGGTAAAACAAATATAAAATATTTTACATAGTTGGCATGTAGTCAGATATTAAATATGTCGTTTCTATTACTATGTGTCCACGCTTAGCTAGTTAATAAGTAGGAATGCGGACATTCTGCCCTAAATTTCACTTTTCACAATAATCTGAAAATCAGGAAAGTCGCTCATATATTCATCTGGGCCCTTCCAAATCCAAGCTACTGTATCTTTTAAGGAAAAAAGAGAAAAGTTTCCTTCTTTCTTCCCCTTGTTCCTTACTTACCAATGAAGGTCCCAATGTATTCCATTAAGTTATTTAAAACATACTTCTATTGGAAAGGAACTAATTTTTCTCCCAATCAGAAAAACCTACTGGAAAATTAGATGTCTCACAAGGCTTAATCTTAACCTTCTAAGATTTTTAAAAATAACTTTGTAGAAATTCCCAGAGGCTCCCTCTTTTATTTTACATGTTTTCCTCCCAAGAAAAATTTCCATATTTTTTCCTAACTTAATGCTAAAATATGCATTTACTTACTCAATTCAATTTTGAGCCAAGTGAATGTATTACCTAGTCAAAAAATAACATTAATGTGAGCAATAAAGCTTGAGAATTATAAGCATTATGGGAGTTCTACATGTGGCTTTTACTACATGCCACCCACTAGTTAATTATATGTCTTATCTCTCTGTAAGGATAACCAACACATTTATTCAAACAAATGTATATCAGTCCAGTGATATTACACTCAAGGAAAACACTAGTATTCACTAGTAAAGACTTTTTATGAGAAGAAAGCTAGCCAAAATAAATTTATTGCTGACTTCAAAAAGATACCTAACATTTATTATACACTAACTAGTGCCTGGTCGTTAGATGTTTTGGTCTTTGAAAGCTGATCCTCAGAATGATTCACCGACTCACCCAACCTGACTGAAATCATAAACTGGGGGGCTGGAATTTGATTTAGGCTTGCACTAGCTAAGACCACTCATCGTCTTCTTAAGCTTTTTAGGGTGCCCTTACCACAGTGGCAACATTAAAATTAGGAACTCCTCTTAAGGTTCAATAAAATCATCTGACTTCAGGGTTTGCTACCTAGTCTCACTAAGAAAACCAGATATTCTAAATAAAGACCAGCACAAAGAAAACTTCTGCTTTAACTCCTACTAATCCAGTAAGGACATGGACCCTGCAGACACAGAATTAAAATGTACTGGTCTAAACTCCTCCATCTAAGACCTATCCTCTCACCCAGGGAAATAGAAGTCAAACGAGCACTGGGATAACAGTACCTCTCCCACCAAGCAAAATGAAGCCAGACACTTTCCAAGAACATATAAACTGTGCAAAAACAGCCGATCGTTCCTAGGTCACCAGGTGTACCGCAGAGCCCCACGTGGTAACAAGCCAGGCAGAGCATTTCATTGCCTTTCCCCGATCTCACAGCCAACATTAAACCATATTCAATTTACACACACTCTATTACTGCCTTGAAATCAACGTCGGCCACCAGGATGCATGACTCAAATGGAAAAGAAATTCAAAACAATTAGGGAGCAAAATTAATACACTCACCAGCCCACCAGCAAAATGAAGAGAAAATGGAGAGACAGGAAGTGACTTTGGAAAGTTGCCTCAGAGCCTGATTGGCTAATGAGTTTAAAGGCAGATACCCTCCTACTTTACCTTAAAAGGTACTGAATTGATGCAACCACTTCTTTCACCAGGACCACTGATGCTACTTGCACCATTTTTAGATCGAACTTTTTAAAAGGTTTCATTTTGAGTTAATGTACTTAACACAAGCAAACACAAGCAATCCTTACACACATTCCTCTTTAGGTGGGCCTACTTCAAACAACTTTCTTTCTTACAGTCAGGGGTAACAAGTTTCAATATAAACTGTCAATGTAACCATTCAAGTAAGAATATTACCTTCAGGGTAATATGTGAGTTAATAGGCTTAGTGAATAAAAGATATGTGGATCGGGCATAGACTTGCAGTAAAACAGCTATATAAAAAAAAAAAACTTGTTAAATTAACCCTTATCTTTCTAGTTACTTCTTCACCAATTACTACCCTACCTCAGCTCAAACTTCTTTGTCTTGTCAGTTCTTCACAAATTTGTTATTTCTATTTCTAAAAGGCATAGAAACATCCTGCTCAAATAACTTCTCTGGATCTTTATTTGCTTATGAAAAATATCATGTACATGCAAAATCAATAAATTTTGTATGCTTTCTCCTGTTAATCTGTCTTTGTCAGTTTAGGAGACCGTAAGAAAGTTGAGGAAAATGTTTTCTTCCAATATGGTAGCAAAAGAAAACCTCTGTTTCTAGGTGTTGCACAAGGATATTCTGGGACATGTTTCATAGAAATTATGATCATTTCTAGGATACTTTTAACTGCACAATCTGGAATAAATTTCTAAAACTCTCTGAGATTCACTATTCTCTTTGGTATCAAGAGGCTAGTAATTCCTAACACTCTACCATATATACTAATGTATGAAAGAGTCTAATATAAATGACTAGTGTATAGCAATGGTCAATTAAATTTATGGCCTCCTTCCTTCCGTGCTCATTCCCCATTCTTATGTATAGGCAAGGTCATAAAGTAAGTAGCTGCTTACATGAGTTTATTTATGCTATTTATTTATGCTATTATGTTTATTTATGCTATTTCATTCATATACACACCATACAGTTCTTTCAGAATACAAGTAAAGTAGTGCAAATCAGTTTTTGTTCCTAAATTCTATGCAGTTACAGACCAATCTTCACCCTTAATTTCTTAGTTCTGACAGTAACAAGATTACATTGCAGGTTTTCTTCTCCTATGAGAAGTGCCAAGGATCACTTTGGAATTCCAGAATGTTGAGCATTTAGCATATAAATTTATTTATGCATATTTATGCAATCTTCAATCATTTTGGGAGAGCTATTTTTTAAGAGGAATTTAATTTATTTTTTAATTTTTTATTTTTTTTAAAGATTTTATTTATGCATACAAGAGCTGGGGTACAGGCCAGAGATGTCGGGGGGAGAGGGGGTGAGAGGATTCACCAGAGATAGAGCGGGAACAGAACAGGCAGATTGACCGAAGTACACTGTTGACGGGAGCAACGGGAAGATTCAGGAGAGGTCTGCTGCGCCATGTGAGTTGCACCCTGGCCGCCAGGGATCGAACTCATGCTGCCGAGGGCTGCGGATTGCTTCATATTGTGGTGCTTAACTCCTTGTGCCACCAGGGAGGCCCAGGAGAACTACTTTAGTAAAGAGTTTTGGAATGTCAAGATAGCATTTGAAAACAGACACACCAACATTGTTTTAAGGGTTGAAAAAGTTGCCCAGTCTCTAAAGTGGATTCCTGGAGAGGGGAGTAAAGAAAGGATCTGGGTGCTGGATCCATTGGGCTGTTAGCTGATTCAACAATTTCATAAAGTGGGGGGAGGGTGTGAAAAATGTCGAGTCACTCAAAGTTGAGTGGCACTAAGTGGGACATTTTTGGTCACACTTAGCACTAATCAAATGAGATCATCGATTGCCCTCAAAGAATGTTGCTGACCTATGTAGTGATTTACTTAAACAAATCATTCCACATGTGACACCATGTGACAGTGAGTAAAAGCAATAAAGTAGAGAATCTACCCTACCCCCCTCCACCCCCCCACCCCCGCCCCGCACCTCTGGCCTGTACCGCAGTTCTGGTATGCATAAATAAATAAATCTTTAATATATACGTATATATGTATCCTGTAACTTCTTAAGGATTTTTATATTATATTCATAATAAAAACACATGCAAGCAATGAGAATTCTGTTTTATTCTTCCTAAATTTTATGTTTTGATAGACAAAAATTCTTAATTTTGATATAATCAAATGTATCGATATTTTATTTTATTCTTAAAACTTGCGTTTTAAGAAACCTATTACCTACCTTGAGGTGTAAGATATTTTATGTGTATTTTCTGCCTAAGAGTTTTCAAGTTTCATTTTTGAATACATAAACACACATCTAAGAAAAAGCAAAATTGCCAACTGAGGTTTGGAAAGCCTGGCTTGTGGTGGCCACTGGTTGCCTCTCCAGCTCGCCTCAGACCACACTTCAGCCATTTATCTCCTCTGTTCACTTAATTGCTCTTCTGATATAGCTCAACTCCTGTCTCTTCCCTAGTGATGAGTTTCTCAATTTGCCCTCCTATTAGAATTTCCCTTAATACACTGTGCTGCTTCTTACAAGCGCTTGATGCAGCTGTACTTTTACGCTGCATATGTCATTTGTCTAATTATTTGGTCAATGATTGTCCCCACTTTGACTAAGTTCCCTTAAGACATTGATTATGCCTGTTTTGGCTTATCAATTTTATCCCAGCAAGGTGTCCAATAAATGAAGTAATGAATCTATAGTTACCTATAACTAATCTGAAACTCACCAATATCAGAGTAATCTGGTGTCTCTGTTAAAAATGCAGTCGCAATCTTTGATTCAGAGGGTCTGGGATAGTAAATCAGGGGTCTGCCGTTAAGCGCTCAGCTCCCATCTTTCGTGGAGTAGTGGCCCCCAAACATTTGAGAATCCCTGACCTAATGTCACCAAGGACCTTCCTAAAACCCAGATGACAGGGTTTCTGTGCCTACAAAAGCTTCCGAGTTCAATTCCCCCAGCCCCACCCCCGACTCCCACCCCCCCCCCCGTCTGCTCCGTATTCTCGAATGGACTGTGCAGAGTCCTACCGCGTCTCCGCTAGTCAAACTCGACCTTTCCCAAAACTTTACCGTGTGCTTCCGTTTTACAAAAGAGGACGGGGGAGAGTAGTCTGAATTGGGTTATGAGGCCCCTTTGCAGGGTACCTCACCTCAGCCATTGAACTCACTTCGCTGGCCGTGAGTCTGTTCCAAGCTCCGGCTAAGGAGGCATCCGCCAGGAACCCCCTGACGGGGATATCCACAGCATCTCCTGCCCAGTCTGCCCTCGCGCGGAGCCCCGTTCTCTGGGAACTCACCTCCCCGAGCTCGGGGAGGGCCCTGTTAGGGCCGCTACTGGCCCTAGTCTCAGACCTTCCCAAGGGACATGTGACGGAGTGACGCAAGGCACTCAGCTCGTGGCCCCACCGATGAGCTTCCCTCCGCCCTATGCGTAAAAGCAGTCTTACCTCGTATTTATAAGGCCCCCACACCTAAAGTCATATCTCGATTAGGGTGACTTCCCACAAGCCATAGCGACATGCAAATATGAGTGGCGGCCTTCCCCTGTGTCTTGTAGGCGTCTTCTCACTAAGTCGCAAGCGAGTTGCGTGTTCCCGCCCTGTCACTATTGGCCGACCTTTCCGGGCGGAGCCTGGTGACGTCATTCGGTTCCATGGCGGCAAGACGGCGGGGACCTTTCAGCGGTCGAACCCGAGGTTCGGAGCTCATTGTTGCCGGGAGGAATATTGGGAGGCGGGAAATCGGTAGTGGAACCGGTGCCCTTTTTGCTAGCCCCTTTCCCTCTCCATCGCCCCTGACCACAATGACTACCAAACTAGTTTTGGTGCTAAACTTTTAAATTCGGCTGCACCTCTTCTTGATGTGATGGATGTAACAACTAACAGTGCTATACTATTGTAAATATGTTATGTCATCCACTTAAAAAGATTAATTGTAAGGCGTATCGTTATTTTATGAACCACTAAGAAAGAAAAGATTTCCAGTTAAAACGCTGCGTGTGTCATCCATTGTAAATTGCATCCCAGTTTCAGAGATAGTAAAATGCGACTGTTAGAATGATGAGTTCTCGCTTACTATGTGTAGTATGTTCTTAAATATATAGAACGCCTACAGATTCGATTTTCATAGTTGGGAGTGCTGTACAGAGGTGAAATAACTTATATAAGTTCCCACAGATGAAAAAGACAGAGCTGGCTGTAAGCTAGGCCTTCTCCAGAGCACTCTACCAAATATTATCTCATCTTCCTTTGGTAGTTTGGAGATAGCTTTTTTTGGGTGGTTTGTTGATGAGTACAAGTAAACAGAAGAGATAAACAGACTCTGAGACTCATTTCTCAGGCTATGAAGGCACCAGAGTCCTGGGCTCACTTATTTTACTGTTTAGCTAGAATAGCAATTTAGGAGGCAATTTTTTAGACTCTTATCAACAGCTGTTATATCTTTGTAAACTTGCAAAACCATCCAAAACCATTTCATAAACCAAGAACATGGTAGATTTGAAAATAGGTTTGTATTCAGTGTATACCCATTCTTTCTTTTGCTTGTTTGCCTATTCTTCTTGCCCTTAGCTTCTGCAGCATTAAAGGAAACTGACAGAGTTAATGGCAACAAAGCAGCAGAAGAACCTCCTGCTGCCAAGAAAAGCCGAAGATGTGGGAGGCAGGTAGTAAAAAAGGAGCCTGTGGCTAAAGGAACGGCTGATGAAAGGACAGAAGACAAAGGTCAGCTTCATGTGGTAGGCCAGGGAGGACATGGGTCATCAAGAGTCTCTGAAAGGACAAGGGAGGGACACAGTTGGCACTTCCTGCTTATCCTCAGGGGATAATGCCTGACACCTCCAATAATAGCAAACCTTATGTCTATTATGTTTTTTCCTATATGCACATAGCTATAATAAAGTTTAATTTATAAATCAGGAAGTCAAAGTAAAAGATTAACAGTAACTTAAAGAAAACACTTAATAGCTTCTCTTTGGCATGCTCAAATTGCCAGCATCAATACTCTTGCACCTTGGGGGGACTATTAAGTAAAATAAGTGTTACTTGAACATAAGCCGTTTATAGTGGTTTAGTCATTCTGATAGCCCAGACAATTACTAATTGACTAATGGGTAGGTGGTATATACTGTATGGATACCTGGGATAGAGGTATGATTCAAGCCCTGGGTAGGACAGTGTGAGATTTTATCACAGTACTCAGAAGAGTGTACAATTTTAAACTTACACAGTTTATTTTTAGGATTTTCCATTTAATATTTTCAGAATGCAGTTGACTTCTGATAACTGAAACCATAGATAAATGAAAAGGGTTGGGGGAGGAGGATCCAACTGTCTCATGATCTTTAAACCCTTATTTCTTCCTTTCTTTAAGATAAAATTAACCTTCGAGCATACCATAGGACTAGTCTACTTTTTCACAATCTTGAGTTTCAAGTATTTGAGATGAATTAAGCTCTGGGCACATCAGAATTGCTTGGGAAGAGTAAAATTAATAAAGACATGTTTCCATCTAACCATTCAGCTGTTTTTGATTCCATACATGTAGTCTTAGTACATATTTGTCTTCTCTCAGAATCTGTGAAGACTTTGCTGATAAAGGGCAAAGCTCCCGTTGACCCAGAGTGCACAACCAAGGTTGGAAAGGTGAGAGACTACTCGATCCATTGTTTCTTTGAGAGCAGTGCTGTTACTGGGATTCCTTTTCAAAATATTATTAGTGATTAATTTTCTTCAGAGCTAAGAAATGGCAGTGGTGGGATTTGAGTTAAAAAATGGGGGTCTTTTAACATGGTTAATTTGGGGGGTTGTTTTCAGTCTTCCACACCTAATTCTTTTTCTCAAATTAGAGAAAGTTAGATTAGAAAGTTGGGTTTATCAAGGAAGACTTGTCTGTGTTCTGATGTGAAACATCCTGGTAAGGCCTGAGCCACTAATGAATGGAAAAGACTTGAGAGTGCAGAAGAAAGGCTTCCTCTGAAGCAGGCTTCCTTTAGCTAGGTTAGAATCATTAGGGTTTCTGTAATTTAAAAAGGTAACATGTTTGTATTGTAAGAATCAAATTCTACCAAGAACAAACTTTTGACATTCTTTCCCTGGGAAGTGGATATTGATTGTGTGTAGGGGAATGACATCTTGAGGCATAAGGAAATTAAGTGTTCAGGATCTTCTGAGGACTGAAATGATCCTAATGTCAGTTTTTCTTTTCACTTTAGGCCCATGTGTACTGTGAAGGGAATGACGTCTATGATGTCATGCTAAATCAGGTACGGGAAGGAGCATTTCTAACATGGGAATTTCTTCTTGATCTTTCTTGATAGTGTCTCAGTGCCCAGGTCTTTAATTTTGAAGTCCCTTGTATTAGCCACTGGTGGTTCATATTCTTAAGTATTTAGCCCTAGCACACTCTACCTGATAGTAGAATCATCTATGGGATCATTTTGCAGATTTCATATCTTATTGAACTATTGGTTCATTTTATCTACACATCTTTCTTACTCTTTTTCTTAGTAGCTTCAAGGAACTTTATGTAATATGGTAAATAGTCCTTTGTCTGTAATACCTGTTGCTTATAAATTTTCCAAATGTGTCATTTGCCTTTTGATTATCTTTATGGTATACATTTTACCCTTATTGAAGTTTTAAATATTTTGTAGTTAAATTTACTAACATTTTCTTTTAAAATATCTTTTCTCTCTTTGATTATCTTTATTGTTTTGAACTGATGTTTGCCTTAATATAATTCCTGAATATCTCATCATATTTGAATTTATTGATCCATCATATATAATTTTAAAACCTATCTAGTATACCCTGATTACTACTTCTTTCACTTAAAATATCATGAGCAGATAGAAAAGACCTCATGGTCCCTTTTTGTTCTAACATTCTCTAACTTTAGAATGTGAGCAGGCATGCAATAGGAAGGAACAACCTGTTTATCAAAGACAGGTGCCTGGATAACCAGGGCTCGGCCTTACAACACTGCTACTGCTCCCTCTCTTCACTCTGAATAACTTACAGGACATCTCTTAGTAGGCACTAGTCACAGTCTCCCTGAATGTCTGCAGGTCAGGTCAGGTTTGGTATGGGACAGATGTGGCAGTGGTTTCTGCCTAGCCTCTGTTCTTTCCTGTCATTGTCCTGCACTCAGCTCATTATCAAATTGCTGCAGCTGACAAAACAAGGCTGTAATAAAAACTATTAAAGGGTAAGTTGCCTAAACAAATAAGCGTTGTAGTTCTAGACTTTGGGGTATCAATTATTTTTATTTGATAAGTAGAGATTGAAAATGGGGGCCTACCTGGTGGCGGAGGCATTAATGACAGTGCTGTCAAGCCATTTCCAGCCACTGCAGCATGAGTTTGATCCCCGGCCGACTAGGGAGCAACCCACATGGCACAGCAGACCTCTCCTGCCTCGCCTGTTGCTCCCCTCAGCAGTGTATATCAGTAGATCTGCCTGTTCTGCTCCCCACTCTCTGGTGAATCCTCTCACCACCACCACCACCCCACACACATCTCTGACTTACACCCTAGTTCTTATATGCATAAATAAATAAATCTTTAAAAATAAATAAATAAAGATTGAGAATGGATGGGGAACTGAGAAACTTCTATGGCCTAGGGTATCTAAACAGGGAGCTAAGATACACACACACACACACACACACAATCAGTATCAGATATATGAGATGGGTAAAGAGTTTTAGGAAGTTTCTAGCTTTAATCCCTTAGAATCCAATGCTTAATAATAGAAATCCTATTTCTTCTTTATATCCTTAATATTACAGGAATCTGATTTCTTCACCTCATGGAAAACACTAACACCTATGACCAAGGAAGAGTCTTTGTTTTATGTCACTTCCATCTGCATACCTCTGTCCTTTTATGTTCTTATTTTCTCTTAACCATAGACCAATCTCCAGTTCAACAACAACAAGTACTATTTGATTCAGCTGTTAGAAGATGATGCTCAAAGAAATTTCAGTGTTTGGATGAGATGGGGCCGAGGTAATAACTTTTTTTATGGATTTTCTGAGTTACCATTCTGAAAGCCTCTGGATTTAATCTCTGGATTAAATCCTCTGGATTTAAATGGGTGAAATGGAGGATCTGTAATTTAGGAAAGGCTTAGCAATCAAATTGTGCTTTTTGATATTGGGAAGTGGCAGACATCCTTACTAGAAAGTTCCCATTGAAAAAAGTAAGAGTAGCCTGCTGAGGCTGAGAACTCACCTATGATTTATATCCTGATGCTGTTCAAAGACTGTGACACTTAGCAGATAACTGATAGCAACAGAATCAGTTCCCTAAGCCCTTCCTCCTTTCTTCTCTGCCTTTCCTGTCTATGTGTGAGCTGTAAGCAGAGAGACCTTAGACAAATGGCTTGTTATTGTTAAAGAATTCTTGGATTGGGGGATAGGGAACCATCTTATATGTGGTGTTTGCTTTGCAGTTGGGAAAATAGGTCAGCACAGCTTGGTGGCTTGTTCACAGGACCTCAACAAAGCCAAGGAAATCTTTCTGAAGAAGTGAGTGCTAAAAAAAAATATGAGTACAGAAATTACCTATTCTCTACTTTGATGTATCTTCTTTAAGAATCTTCTGTGTCAGTTGGCCTAAATGTTAATGTCTTTCCACTGTGACATTCTGTGATTGGAGCACCAAACTGTAAACTTAGTTATTGACTAAATCACCTGGAAGCTTGAAATGTACTAGACACAGAAGTATCTGATGTATTCAGCATATGACCAACAATTTAGGAAATTTGGGGAAAGTGGGATGAGAATATCCAGCTACAGTTTTAAAAATTATCTTAATATAATATGGATGAAGAACTTTCTGGCACCTCTGGGAATATTTCCTTCAGAGACAAAGACTGAATAGGGATCTTTTAAATCTCAATGGCCTTTGTGATGTTTTGAAGCCCTTGGAAAGTTCAAGGGCCCTTTTCCCCCATTTTTTTCTTGCCTTTGTCTTCAGAGTTTTTCTGTCCATTCAGGGTCCTAATTTAGAAGCTATAAGGAAATAATTATAAGCCCATCCATACAGTGAACCTTATTTGTGAAGTTTTCTCACCACCTTGGACTCTACAGATTCCTTGACAAAACAAATAACAATTGGAATGACCGTGAGAAGTTTGAGAAGGTGGCTGGAAAATATGATATGCTGCAAATGGACTATAGCACCAACACTCAGGTAAACTCTGACTATACATTTAGGGGAAAAATTGTTTCTCTCAGCCAGCATGAAAGTCCTGCAGAATGGTTTAGATCTGGTCCTAGACCAGAAAAGGCCAGGATATCTTGAGTCTTGCTATTTTCTCACCTGAGAAAAGGTTACATTTCCCTCAGGTCTTTGCTATTCTGCAGAAGCTGTAGAATGTGATAGAATATGCTTTCTAGTCTGTTATTTACTAAGATTCTTAAAAAGTTTTAGGTCCTTTTTCCAGAGTTTTAATGTTATGAATCAAGAGGAGTAATAAATAATCAAACTGGTAAAAGTACCTTCAAAGTTGTATTCACAACTGGTTATAGATCCCCATTTAAAAAAATAATAATTTTTACAAACTGAGGTGCAACCAGGATGCTGAAAACTGTCATATATCTGAAAAAAACAGAACTAGTCTTTTTCAGATGAGAAGATTTAAGGCCCAAGAGTTGTCTTTATATATTAACATCATATTAAGGAGGAATTTTTAGACTTCTCTGAGTGTTTAACTATGGGAGGCAGAAGTAGAACTAGAAGACAGAAGTCCCATTTGAGTATTCCAACTAGGTTAATAATGAAATGGGCTGTGTTTAAACAGAGACTGATTGATCTTTACCTGCCAGGGATATTTTGGAGACAGTGCAGGGAGCTTAAGTAGATCATTTCAGATTTTATGATTTACCTTTTTTTTTTTTTTTTTTTTTGCTGTAGAGTGAAGAGGAAACAAAAGAAGAAGAATCTCTTAAATCCCCCCTGAAACCAGAGTCACAGCTAGATCTTCGTGTGCAGGAGCTGATAAAGTTGATCTGTAATGTCCAGGCCATGGAGGAGATGATGATAGAAATGAAATACGATACCAAGAAAGCCCCACTTGGTAGGAATACAAATTCTATCCTACATTCCGTCCTCATATTTCCTTGTTGCTTTAGTGGGATATTTTATTACTGTTATGATTTAAAGCTTGCTAGCATTACTGAATGAAGAAACAGAGGATTAGGAGTTGTATGCAGGAAATGAGGAACTAATTGACAGTTAAAAGGTAAGAGTCTTGGGCCTCCTGCCCACAGCCTCTGCAGTGCTGGTCGTTCCCCTGCCGCCCGAGAGGGTCCCGCAGAAAAAAAAAACCGAGAGTCTTCATTGGACAGGGACATAAATACCATTTACAGGGTGGGACCCTAGTTGTAGAGTCTGATCTCTGACTGGGCCCACAGGGAAGCTGACAGTGGGACAAATCAAGGCAGGCTACCAGTCTCTTAGGAAGATTGAAGATTGCATTCGAGCTGGCCAGCACGGACGAGCTCTTGTGGAAGCATGCAATGAATTCTACACCAGGATCCCACATGATTTTGGGTAAGGCCTATGCTGTTACCTCACTTTGATTTTCTACCCAACTATATCCTCTGTATCACTCAGTAGCAACTATGATCTTTTTAATCATTCTAAGGAAATAATCTTGAATACACACAGGGCTAAAAGACTAATTAGTAGCCTATTTAATCAGCTTTCAAGTCTGGGATGCTATCTCTGGCCTGTCTGTCAAGTAAAAGTTACCAACTCCAGAGAATGGGTTTACCTATCCAAACAAAAAGTAAAACACCTTCAGTCATACCCTAGTCTTTAGGGTGACTATAAACACATACCATTTCTATGCACTTGATAGTGATATTGATATTAGGTATAAAAAATACACTTTATCTGTTTTGATTCTGTTTTCTGGTGCTTATTCTGTTTTTATTGTTTCTATTGCTTACTTTATAAAAGAGCCCTGTGACCTAGAAATAACCCTGAGTAATCAACAGGTCTACTTCTAAATAGGACTATATCCAAACTACTATTTATTGATGTTGATATATTTTACTTAAAAAAGAACCTCATTTTTAAAAATTTCAACTTCAGTCCCAAATGTCAAAATCTATACAGCTTGTTTTATCTTATCTGCAATATAATGATCTCTGTATATTTGGAAGTTTCTTTATAAGTTTCTGTCTCTCAAGGAGAAAGTTTCTTACATCTATTTTATAAAAGACCCATCTTTGGGGCCTCCCCGGTGGCGCAGCAGTTGAGCACTGGGTTGCGAAGCTGCCCGCAGCCTCTGCGGCGCCGGTTCGATCCCCGGCTGTTCCCCGACCACTGGAGGAGGGTCCCACATGGCGCGCAGACCTCTCCTGCTGCCCGCTGCTCCCCTCAGCAGTGTACTTCGGTCCTTCTGCCTGCTCTGCTCCCCGCTCTGGCTCTGGTGAATTCTCACCCTCCCGCGCTTTTGACTGTACCCAGTGCATGTATAAACCAACCAAACAAATAAATAAATAAATAAATAAGACATGCCTCTAGAAAAATTAAAAAAAAAAAAAGACCCATCTTTGCTTTTTGCTTTTAATTATGAGCCTCTTGACCACATTAAGAGAATTCGCTAATGTTTATATTCCTGCCTTTAGGCTCCGGACCCCTCCATTAATCCAAACAGAGAAAGAACTGTCAGACAAAGTACAACTTCTGGAGGTGAGATATGTGTGGATTGTGAAGTATTAAATTTCTTGTCCCAGATTCCTCCCACACTGATTCTGTACCTCATCTTGTCAGGCTTTGGGAGATATTGAAATTGCCATTAAACTGGTGAAGACAGAGCTTCAAAGCCCAGAACACCCATTGGATCAACACTATAGAAAACTGCATTGTGCCTTGCACCCTCTGGACCATGCAAGTAATGAGTTCAAAGTAAGAGAAATGATCATTTATTTTCATACTTATATGTTCTACTCTCCCTGAAGAGCACTCTTTTGTAAAGCAGCATTTCTTTTTTGCTAGGAATTGGCGGAGGTAGAGCTCTTGTGAGACTATTTAAGAGCAGAAAGTTTTGCCAGTTTATATCAGAAGCTCTGAGGTTCTTCAACCTGATCTCTTGCAGAGTCCACTGCAGCCATTATTTCCCTTTTTTCCACAGGTGATTTCCCAGTACCTGCAGTCTACCCATGCTCCCACACACAGTGACTATACAATGACCTTGCTGGATGTTTTTGAAGTAGAGAAGGAGGGTGAAAAAGAAGCCTTCAGAGAGGACCTTCATAACAGGTCTCAGCTTTGCTTTGGATTTGCAAAAGCATTCCCTTGCCTGAAGTGCAGTTGTGGAACTTATAGAGAAGGGTCGCAGAAGCAGTCGTTGGTGTTAATGGCTTGTGTCTGTAGGAGAAGGACAGAAGAGTACAATAATGATGACCTTTCCTTAGGATGCTGCTATGGCATGGTTCCAGACTGAGCAACTGGGTGGGAATTCTAAGTCATGGCCTTCGAATTGCCCCAGCTGAGGCTCCCATCACAGGTTACATGGTGAGTAAAACCTGAACCCTGGAACGAGACACTAGGGAAAGGGAGACAAATAATTGGCTCAGTCCATTTTTTTTCTAGATTAGGATTAGTTGATGCTTCTCCCAAGAAGTAAGACAGTTTATTGATAACCCTGACATTTCTTGCTGTGTCTTTCTTTAAATTCCTAAAAATATCTCCCCTCTTTACCCTCAGAAAGCAGGGACTCATTGATGCTTCTGACTTCTCTGGAACAGATTAGTGAAGGGAAATGAAAATGGTTCTGTAGTGGGTTTAAGATCATGGAAACCTGGGGTCAGTGGTATGAGTCTCCCTTCTAACATAATGGGCCAGCAGTTGACTTTGGTGTTTGTATATTTCAGTTTGGAAAAGGAATCTACTTTGCTGACATGTCTTCTAAGAGTGCCAATTACTGCTTTGCCTCCCGCTTAAAGGATATTGGGCTGCTGCTTTTATCAGAGGTAAGGCAGGAATACATCTATGATCTCTAGATATTGGTTCCTGTTTTCCCAAAGAAAAGTTTGATCCCAGAACCACTGGTTTACCCAGAAGGAAAGCCAAGGGCAATTTCCATTACACTAGGCTCCTCTGCTGGAGTGGAAAGAAAGTACTGATGGAAGTTTCTGTTTGGCCTTAGAGCCACCCACTTCTCAGAAGGATGTGGGCATTCAAACATCTTTTGTTTGCAGGTAGCTCTAGGTCAGTGTAATGAACTATTAGAGGCAAATCCTGAGGCAGAAGGATTACTTCAGGGCAAACACAGCACCAAGGGGATGGGCAAGATGGCACCCAGCCCTACTGCTTCCATCACCCTGTAAGTACCCAGAGTCTGGAGGGTCAGAAGACTCCTTTTGGCCAGATGACTGTACTTTCTCTATTCTACATTCTGAACCACAGGCAGCTATTGACACACTTTCTTCCACTTGGCAGGAATGGGAGTACAGTGCCCTTAGGACCAGCGAGTGATACCGGAATTCTGAATCCGGATGGTTATACCCTGAACTACAATGAATTTATCGTCTACAACCCCAACCAGGTCCGTATGCGATATCTTCTCAAGGTTCAATTTAATTTCCTGCAGCTGTGGTAAATGTTGATATTAGATAAACCAGAGAAGATAGGATCTTCAAGCAAGAAAATAAGCAATGTTGTACTTTTGAATTTTCTATAATAAAAATACTACAAATCTACCACTGACCTCTTTGGGCTTTACTTCTCCAGGCACATACTGATAGTTTTTTTTTTTTCTTTTTTTCTTTTCTTTTTTTTTTAAGATTTATTTATTTATGCATCCAAGAGCTGGAGTACAGGCCAGAGGTGTTGGGGGTGAGAAAATTCACCAGAGACAGAGTGGGGTACAGACAGGCAGACTAACTGAAATACACTGCTGAGGGAAGCAGTGGGCGAGTCAGGAGAGGTCTGCTGTGCCATGTGGATTGTTCCCTGGCCGGCGGGAATCGAACTCATGCTGCAGTGGCTGTGGACAGCTTCATAAGTTGTGCCACCGGGGAGGCCCCATACTGATACTTCTTGTGATGTTAGTCTATCTTCAGTTCCAGGACAAAGTATACCTTGCCCTGTGAATCCTCAAATAAATCTTTAAAAAAAAAATAAATAATTGCTATGGTCAAGATCGATGGATAAATACTATCGGTCAGTGAATCAAGATATTTTCTCAAAGATCTACCTCAAAATGTATTGATTAATGTGATTATTTTAACATATACCCACAGTTCTTTGATACCTGTACCTTTTAGAGATTTCATTCCCATTGGGTGTGGGCTGGATCTAGAGACTTGCTTCTAACAGAATATGAAAAGGTTCAGTAAAAAAAGAGAAAATCTGGCAAGCATCACCTTAATCTTGAAAGGTCAAGGTTAACATCACCAGTAATAAGTCATGTGATAACATGTACTTCTGATATGCTATAACAAGAACACATCCTCTCGTATTCTTCCCTTAAATCCATAATCTCATTCACTTATGAGAAAACAGTGACAAAGCCAAACTGAAGAACATTCTATAAAACATCTGGCGGGTGTTCTTTTAAAGTATCAATGTTATTGGGACCTCCCTGGTAGCGCAAAGGGTTAAGACACAACCTATGAAACTATCCACAGCTGCCACTGCAGCATGAGTTCGATCCCCGGCCAGGGGGCAATCCATGTGGCACAGCAGACCTCTCCTGACTATCCTACTGTATTTCAGTCATCTCTCCTGTTCTGTTCCCTACTCTGTCTCTGGTAAATCCTCTCACCCACCCACTCCCCGCACCTCTAGCCTACACCCCAGTTCTTGTATGCATAAATAAATAAATCTTTAAAAAAAAATAAAGTGTCAACATTATGGACAGACTGAGAGACTGTCATAATGGGAGGAGACTAAAGAGACATGAAAACCAAATGCAGTGTGATTACCCTGGACTGGTCCCTGGTACAAAATAAAGACAGCAGTAAAATGGGAAATCCAAAGCAAGTCTGAATTAATGTACCAATGTGAATTTCTTAGTTTTGACAAATACAGCAGTTATTATATGAGATGTTGACATTCAAAGAAGCTAGGTCAAGGGTATACTGTCTTTGCAACTCCTCTATAAATCTTAAGTGACTTAAAAACAAGGATTAAGGGTCATCACAGTGGAAAAGCACCAACAATAAGTTCTTGGGAGGGGGGTATCCCATCTATCTGGCTGCTGTTTCCTCCAGAATCATAGTAGGATAATACTTCCCTTCCCTCTGACATTATGTGGAACCATGTGACTTCCTTTACTCATTTAGAAACTATGAGTGGAAGTGATGTGTTTTATCTCCAAGTAGAAGATGTAAAGCCAGCAGTTTATGGGATTTTTCTTTTTGCCACAGTTTCTTTTTTTCTGCTTTTGCAATCATTGACACACAGATCTCTAACTATGAGCAAAGAGCTCCCACTGACTCTCTCAAGTCTGCTCTAGATTTCAAAAGCAAATTATACACAAAAACATGTAAAAATTTAGTGAAGCGGTGAGCGCTGCGAAAAGCCTCTGCAGCGCCGTTCGATTGCTCCCCGGCCACTGGAGGAGGGTCCCACATGGCGCGCAGAAGCAGTGTACTTCGGTCCTTCTGCCTGCTCTCTGGCTCTGGTGAATTCTCTCACCCTCCCGCGCTTCTGACTGTACCCAGTGCATGTATCAAAACAAACAAAGAAAACATGCCTCTATATAAAAACATGTAAAAATTTAGTAATGAAAAAGGGGCTTTTGTGAACAGTTAGAGAACAAGACTATGTTCTATGAATCCAAAATCCAGTGGCTATAATTGTGGAATGCCTCCAGGCACTGGGAGACCAAAAATATGTTAGGAACTCAGAAGTTGTTTGTTAGAAACCTAAACTGATTTTCCCTTCAGCTTCTTTGTGTACTTATTTACTTGTACCGAGAGTCTGCTTTTGTCTTTACTCCTAGCAACCAGGCTATGACCTCACTGTGTATCTACAACATAGTAAAAAGTCGTTCAAGTGACTTGGCCAAGAATGCTCAGCTACTAAGCAAGTTAGCCTTTGCTTAACCTTCCCATTCCCAGTTCTCCAGCCTGACCTGATGTGTTTTGTTGAATGAGCATGAATAGACATCTAGAGCTTCTTCCAGTCTGCAGTCAAGGCTTTTAGAGGAATAAAGGGATAATGTTTAGGATAATGTCATTCTGTGCTTCTCTAGGATTTCTGGTAGAATTATGAATCATTAATTTAAAATTAACTTGACTTCTGGTCACAAGGTATATGTAGAGAAAGTGATTTAGAAGTTTAGATGTAGATATGTAGAAGGCCTCCTTGGTGGCGCAGGGGGTTGAGCGCTGCACTGTGGGGTGGTCCGCAGCTTCTGCAGCATGGGTTCAATCCCTGGCCAGCCAGGGAGAGGCCCACATGGCAAGGCAGACCTCTCCTGTCTCACCCACTGCTCCCCTCAGCAGTGTGTTTTGGTGGATCTGCCTGTTCTGTTCCCCACTCTGTCTCTGGTGAGTCCTCTTACCCTCCGCATCTCTGGCCTGTGCCCTAGCTTTTGTATGGATAAATCTTTTAAAAAAAAAAAAAAGAAGAAGAAGAAGTTTATGTAGAGCCCTGGCATGAGGTATACATAAAAACAGAAAATATATGATCAAGATATAAGAGCTGATGGCATTCTTATGTCTTTATCCTCTAGCTCAAGAAGATGACAAGGCCTGATATCAGTAATTTTTCCATATAAAATCTGGAATCAGAAAAGCAAGCACAAAACTCAGTACCTCTCAACTCCCCAAATTCTCAAAACTCATTTCTAGACCACCATGTAGTGGTATTTTTCTGACAGAACCCTACCAACCCACAACAAAACTCTAATCACCCTGGCTTATCATATAAAACATTCTTGAATTCTTGGACACAGGAGACATTTCCTTCTTAACCCTTAGAGAAAAAAGTGCCTCAGGGAACTTCTCCCATAAGACAGAATTGTAAGAAAATAAGAGGTTCCAGACCTTTTACTTAAGAGGACCACAGTCCATGGTAAGTCAGTCCATGACTAACCAAAAATATGTAACAAACAACGTCTGAGTTCTTAACATATTTTTGATCAGTTATGGTTATTTTTGGTCAGTTATGATTATTCCACCTCTCAGGTCATTTTATTTATGAACTTCAGTTTGAGAGCGAGCTAATTTTGAGACTCTTCCAAGAATAAAACCATTATACTACATAGCTGCTGTTCTGTCAGAGGCTGTGGAAACCAGAAGATTCTGCTTCAGAGGCTGTGGAAGTAAGGAACCTGGCTTCTCGCTGTTCATCTGGGCAGTTCTGAGTAGATGGGGATGTTTCTGTGAGGGGATCCTAGCATTGCCCTAGTTCTCAGTTCTCTCTAAATGCCCTGATGGGGCACCATTGATTCCCTCTTTCTTATTTTTTTCGAACAAGTGAAAGGTCTTCCTCTCTCTTTCAAGCTGAATGCTGGTCTACATCAGTTGTTCAAGTTCCTGACAGGAACAGACTATTTTAGAGTCCTTTGGCCAGCAGGCAATGCAGTAATTCAAAAGCCCACTTTCAAAGAATACCTACTAATGATGTGGTTTACTTTTCAGTTTTACTAAGGATAAATGGTAAATCAGAAAAGAGTAACAAAAACAGGGAAAATATTAAAATATCCATATATCCATGTGCTTCCTTATTGATTCAAATCCACATGAAAACGCAGGCAGACCTATACTTGAGATTTTCTGAGACTTAATTTTTATTTATTTTTTTTAAAGATTAATTATTTATGCATACAAGAGCTGGGGTACAGGACAGAGATGTGGGGTGGGGGGAAGGAAGAGGATTCACCAGAGACAGAGTGGGGAGCAGAACAGGCAGATAGACTGGATTCAAACTCATGCTGCAGTGGCTGGCCACCAGGGAGGCCCAAGACTTAATTTTTAAAGTTTTATCAAGAAAGAAGCCACTGATATCTTCAGGTTTTGCATCTCTAGCACAAGAGGCATCTCTGTGCTGTGCGTCTTCATTTCCAGGACAGAAAGTATACGTTGCCCTGAGTGTCTCCCACGACGAGCTGCAGAGAAGAGCCAGGACGCAGTCGAGGTTCCAGGCAGCTCACGGCCCCTTCACATCGGAACAGGCCCCGCTGCAAAGGGAACAATATTGGGGGAGATGAGGGCTGCAAGCCGAGGGCCTCCTCACTAGCCTAGTTTTCCCTACATTAATTCCCTTTATTTAGAATAGGTTCATGACACATTATTGCAAGAAAGATAGAAGAAAACAGAATTTTGATCTTCTGAGCCTTCTGACTCCAAGCTGGCTTCACTGTGACATCCTCCTAGCCCTCCTTGCACACACATGTCCACACACGCACACTTACCAGCTGCATAGTAGAGCGTTCCCACAGTTTAACATCTCTGTCCTTTGAAGCTGTCACCAGCAACTCAGGCAGCACATGGAGGGCTGTGACGGAGCCCGAGTGAATCTCAGAGAGAAGGAGGCAGTAGAGTGAGTTCTCAAAAGACCTTCTCAAGGAAGCATCAAAGACTGCAGGGTCAGACGTACAGCCTCCTCTTTATTTGTGACCCTTCTTTCAAACTCACCTTTCTGTGCTGTCGCGTCTCTAGATCTAGGTTTGTTGGCCAGCTGCATACAGACATATCTGTCTCTGTAGTTTGGGTTTCAGGTATGTTTACGCCTTCCTGCCAGATGTTACCTGTGGTCCATTCTCCCTCAGGAGTGCGTTTGGCTAAGCTCCACAACCTCCCATCAGAGCTGGCACATAAAAATGAGGACTCTGCCAATTCAAGGGCACAGTTACAGCCAGGTCTCAGGCTTAAAGAATTCACTATCCTCCCCATAGCCATCTCCAGACTTCTCAAGTCCTCCAATCAACACTCACCAGATTCAGGTTTGGCCTGAGTTATTGATATGAAGGTCCCTCTTGGATTCTCGAAGTTCAGAATAAATACCTGATTGTATTGATACTCTTCCGATTTCTTTTCCTTATGTGAAAAGAGAGATCATTTCGTCATATCACAACCCTGGCCAGACAAAGCAGCCACCTTCAGCTCTGGCCTGGTCAGGAGTTTTTTTTAACTATAACTTATTTTTTCTTTAAGATTTATTTATTTATGCACACAAGAACTGGGGTACAGGTCAGAGGTGCGGGGGATGAGAGGATTCACCAGAGACAGAGTGGGGAGCAGAACGGGCAGACTAGGGCCTCCCCTGGTGGCGCAGGTGGTTGAGTGCAGCACTGTGAAGCTGTCCGCAGCCTCTGCAGTGCCAGTTTGATCCCAGCCGGCCAGCCAGGGTCCAACATGGTGCAGCAGACCTCTCCTGTCTCACCTGCTCCTCCCCTCAGCAGTGTATTTCGTCAGTCTGCCTGTTCCCTGCTCTGTCTCTGGTGAATCCTCTCATCCTCCCACGCATCTGGCCTATACCCTGGTTCTTGTATAAATAAATCAATCTTTAAAAAAAAAAAAGAACAGGCAGACGGACTGAAATATACTGCTGAGGGGAGCAGCGGGCGAGACAGGAGAGGTCTGCTTTACCATGTGGGTATCTCCCTGGCCAGGGATCGAGCTTGTGCTGCAGTGGCTGTGGATAGCTTCATAGTGCTGTGCCTTAACCCCTTAAGCCACCAGGGAGGCCCTTAACTATAACTTAAAGACAGTAAAGTGTGTAAATTTGAAATGTAGATCTAAATGAATTTTCACACTTGTATGTACCTGTGCAATCACTGTCTAGATAAATACGTAAATCTTTTCCATCACCTCAGAAAATTTCCCTCGCACCCCTTCCCAGTCAATACCAGAGTAGGACTGCCCCAGAGCTAAGTGTTCTGACTCCTGTTACACAGACTAGTTGTGCTTGTTCTTGAACTTCATGTAAGTGAAATCAGTAGTGTGTGTCCTATAGTGTCTGGTTTCTTTCACCTAACAGGTTGTCTATGAGGTATGTCTGTATTGTGCCAGACACTGCTGACGACCCACAGTGGCAAGACAAGAGACATGAAATGAAATGTACTTAAGAAAGTTCTTAGGAGCCTTCCTGGTAGTGCAAGGGATTAAGCACTGCACTATGAAGCAATCTGCAGTCTCTGCAGCATGAGTTCGATCCTCGACCGGCCAGAGAGCAACCCACGTGGTGCAGCAGACCTCTCCTGTCTGGCCCGCTGTTCCCTCAGCAGTGTATCTCAGTTAGTCTGCCTATTCTGTTCCCCACTCTGTCTCTGGTGAATCATTTCACCCTGCCACCCCGCCCCTGCATCTCTGGCCTGTACCCCAGCTCTTGTATGCATAAACAAACAAATTAAAAAAAAAAGTTCTTAGGTGTGTGATTTCCCATGTTTTTTAAATGCTAGAATCATTTTCTTGTATCAATTAAATCCTCAGGGAAACCCAATATATGATATTTGTATGTAGAATGGTTCCGGTTGAAGGAAGAAAAGGGGATTTGGAATCAATTGTCTTTTCCTTCCTCTTTCTTCTCCATGATGGCTCCACGGTTTTAAGCTGTTCATCCTAGATAAATTTTTTTTTTTTAAGATTTATTTAGTCATTTATACAAACACTGGGTACAGTCAGAGGCACAGGAGGGTGAGAGAATGTTTACTGAACTCACACCCAAACAGAACTTACCAAGAAATGAAGTTTATATCCAGGGTTAGATGACTGCAGGAAAAATATACCATAGTCCTTGTGGGTGGACAATGTCACAGGTAGACTGTAGCAGCTCGTCCTGGTTCACAAGAAAGAAAGAGGCCAAGCCCAGGGAGGCCTCTATAAGACCCCAGTACTGGTTTTGAGTCAGACCCAACCTTAGGGTAACCATGAATCTACTTTTCTTCTTTCTCCAGACTAGGAGGAAACAGCATTTTGAATCTTACCAGATTTCAGAGGGAGTGTCTTTTAGATTCATGCGCAGAACTTGAAAATTAGCTGTGACCAAAATGAGGGACTGACCATCAGGGGCCAGGGTCATGTGCGTCAGGAAGCCTAAGTTATCCTGCAGAATTTGTTTCAGTTGAAGACTGTAGCTTTAAAAGAAAAGTACATGTAAAGAGAAAAACCCAGGGCCTACCTGGTGGTGCAAGAGTAAAGAAGCAACCTATGAAGCTATCTGTAACCACTACCGCAGAAGCTAGATTCCCAGCCAGGGAGCAACCCACATGGTGCAGTAGACCTCCCCTGACTCGCCCTGCTGCTCCCCTCAGCAGTGTGCTTCGGTCAGTCTGCCTGTTCTGCTCCCCACTCTGTCTCTGGTGAATCCTCTCACCTCCTGCACCTCTGGTCTGTACCCCAGTTCTTGCATGCATATGCATAAATAAATAAATCTTTTAAAAAATTTTAAAAAATAAAGAGAAAAACCCCACTTTAGTCCATCTCTCTCAGGTTTCTCAGTTCCTCAGCAGTGAAATGGAAAACAAAATGTATTAGCTTTTCTATAAATCCTGTTCTTTTCTGTTTTTCTTAGATTAGTGTTTATCATCACCATCCCCTTAATTGTTCAGCTAGGAATCTCTGACATTCTTGTCTTTGCCTTCCTCTCAGCTCATCAACCAATCAATGAGTACTCTGGCTTCTACTCTCAACACAAGCCAAAATCTATACCCCAAATGCCTGGGTCAGGCCCACTATCTACACCCTCCTTGGGTATAGGATAGCTGTAAGTGTGGTCTCCTACCTTGAGTGTCTCTACTTTTCATCTTCCATACTACTACCACAGTTTGACTTTTCAAATTCACATCATTATCGTGCTCAAAATTCTTAGCACTATGTCCTCTACAGCCTGGCCTCAGTCAATCCAACTTCCACTCCCTCATCCCCCACCAAGAACTCCCAGGACTTGGCTATGCCCAAAACATACCATGTGCTCTCATGCTTGCATGCCTTTGGTTAATGGTACTTCCTCCTCCTGACACACCATCCCCTGCCCTACTGATCCATTAAACTACTCATCCATTAAACCCAATTTCAAATAGCAACTACTTTATAAACTATAAATCTTCAAATTCTGCAGCCCTAGAAATTAAAAAAAATTATAATAATAAGCAGGATTATATCTATTTATATATATATTCATATATATTTTATTTTATACTCATCATTCTGAATGTTGGTGGTGGTTTACATGTATGCACACTCCTCTACTGTGAGCTTCCTTAATTAAAAAACAAAATTCAATCTGGTTCACACTGGCCCGCAGCTTAACATAAAGCAGGCCCTCGATGACTATTACTTAAATTGACATGACAAGGAGCCAAAAACAATTTCCCAGAGACTTCTTTCTGTTTCAAGTGATTTGAGTAAAGACACGGGTATAAGGAGACTACCGTTCATATCATATAACCTAGCTGCTTTGTTTACCTGGTATTTCTGGATGTAGATTTCTTCTGCCGTGACACTATCCATGTACTGACTTTTTCATTATCACTGAGAACAATCAAGAGGTGGTCCAAATACCAAATCACAGCATTGATGCAGCCCGGAGCCTGGATATACAGTAAGTTCATTCAGTACTTGTGAGGAGCCAAGATTAATCCACTTTCCCCTCCGAGGCATCCACACAACCTCTAACCAGGCACACAACATTAAGTAGGTAGCCAGGCAGAATACACGTAGATAGAAAACTGACATTGCCCCAGCTCACCTGTGCTGTGGCCACAGCCTTAGCATTCTGCCACAAGGTGAGCTCCCCAGTTTGATTCCCAGACACTGCCAAAGAACCACTGGGGGCCCAGGCCACAGCAGTGATGGCTGCAGGGTTTCTGAGCTTGTAAGTGCCATCTGGAGAAAAGGAAGTGACTCATTAGGAGCTGGACCACTGCCGGGATACAGGAGGAGAGCAGGCTGCACTTGGCCCTCTTGGGCCTGGTAACATACCCCCTTTCATACCTTGCCTCACTCACCTATTTCCTTAGGTACCTGACAGAGCTGGACAGAACCATCCTCTGAGGTGGTCAGCAGGAGACCTGAGGTCTCCGAAACAGCAGCTGCACTCACTGGGCCACTATGTCCCAGAAAGGTATGTGTTTGAAACACCTATAAGGAAAGGATGGAGATGGAACAGTGGAGGGTTGACACAACAGAAGGTTGTCCCATGTACTCTCTCCCCCAATCCACCTCAGTTCTTCAGGAAACTCACCAAGAGTGGATGCCACAGCCGTGTGGCCCCATCCAGTCCAACAGTCACCACCAAAAGCTCTGCCCCAGGCTGGCCAGCTGGTAAAATATGAGACTAAGTCAGAAGAAGGAGAAGCAGAGAAGAGGCAGTGGGGCAAGGTAGGCAGCTGACATTGCATTACCTGCACGGGGCTCCAGGGCAGCTGCACAGTGGCTGATGGGTCCTTCATGAGCAGGGATGCTGGTCAGCTCCACACCCTGATGGTCCCACACTTTCAAGGTCCCGTCCCGACCCACGGACACCACATGCTCCTCCTGTCCCAAAGCACAGGACCAGGGCAAAGTAACACAGAGTGGGTTATAACACCCACCACAGACATGTGAGTGGAGTCGCAGGGCTTTAGAAGACATCGAAGGGCCTCCCTGGTGGCGCAGCAGTTAAGTGCTGGGTTGCAAATCTGCCTGCAGCGCCAGTTCGATCCCCGGCCACTGGGCGAGGGTCCCACATGGCGCACAGACCTCTCCTGCCGCCCGCTGTTCTCTCGGCAGTGTACTTCATCAGTCTGCCTGTTCTGCTCTCCGCTCTGACTCTGGTGAATTATCTCACCCTCCTGCGCTTCTGACTGTACCCAGTGCTTGTATAAATAAATAAATAAATCTTTAAAAAAAAAAAAAAAAAAAAAAAGAAGACATCGAAGTGTGAGGGAACTCCGGACAGTGAGGCAAGGGTGGGTAATACTAGGAAGCTGTGTGTTCATGTTCTCCCTGTACTCACAACACCTCAGCCTCAATACCTTAACCTTACTCTAATCTAGCCCCAAACACCTTTATATATCATTGCCTTCGGGATGAGATGCCCAATGCTTCTGGCCTCCCTCCCTCGGCCTCCCCCAATGAGCTCTCCATTGCCTTCTCACCATGGCCACCACGGCGCTCACAGCACTCTGATGGCCCAGGAACTGGCCGAGCTGCTGTCCGGATGCTGGGCTCCACAGCCCCACAGAGCCATCAGCGGAGCAGGAGACCTGTGGAGCAGAGGATGGGGGGGGGGATTATCAATATCCCTCTGCATTTGTGTACATTTATAATGTGGGTAGAGAGCAGAACCTTGTGAGTTAGAGTATGGACTGTCCTGGTTTCAAATCCCAGCTCTACTACTCATTATCTTGTGTTCCAGGGCATGTTCATATCTCTGAGCTCCACAGATTTAAGAAAGATAATGACAGAATACATATCCGATAAGGTTGTTGTGGGGCTGATGTCTCTACCATAAGACTTAGCCTGCTGCCTGGAGGATAGTGAGCATGGAATCAATTGCAGCTATAGTCTTTGTTATTAACATGATGTCAGTCAACAAACCCAGTCAAAAGTAAAAAGTCTGCAATACCAAGGAAAGAGCTAGCTGCCTAGAAGGCAAGGGTAGGACAGACTATGACAAATCTATTTAACCGACACGCCTTTCTTGTTGGCAGCCTGCTGCCCTAAATGGAGCTGGAGTTCTCTGAGAGTCCCTATTTATTCTGCATATGGAATTCCAAGAGGTTAGAAGTTCTGCAAACAGAACTTCTCAGAATTGACTCCTGTTCTCTGAGGATGTACTGGCTTGTGCACATATTCCCTGTTAACTAGAAAAACTTGTTTCAGGCCCTCCCCAGTGGCGCAGCGGTTGAGCACTGGGTTGCAAAGTTGCCCGCAGCCTCTGCAGCGCCGGTTCGATCCCCGGCAGCGATCCCTGGCCCCGATCCCCGGCCACCGGGCGAGGGTCCCACATGGCGCGCAGACCTCTCCTGCCGCCCGCTGCTCCTCTCAGTAGTGTACTTTGTCAGTCTGCCTGTTCTGCTCCCTGCGCTGCCTCTGGTGAATTCTCTCACCCTCCTGCGCTTCTGACTGTACCCAGTGCTTATATAAATAAATAAATCTTTAAAAAAAAAAATAAAGAACTGATTACAACTAATGTATTTGGAAAAAAAAAAGAAAAACTTGTTTCAGCAGTAACTTATTAATCTATATAAGCATAAAAACAATTGTGTGCTATTTTCTTGTTCCTTTGTTCATATCTTGTTGTTGTCCGTATCTTTAATAAAAGCTTGGGCTGGGAGAGTGAGAGGCAGAGCTGCTCTCGATGGCACTCTCCCCAGCCTCCCCCTGCTGCAAATTCATTTAGACTCCAAGTCTGAGTCTTTGTTAACAGCTGAGAACTTCATTGGCTGTCTGGCTGTCTTTGGCACTTTCTCATTTCTTTTTTGGAACAATGTGGGGTCTTTGCATTGGAAAACTAGGCTTCACCAATCCTGGATACATAATCTGAGACTCATTTTTATCTTTGGACCAAAGAATGACAGCAGCACTCTTTACCTGCAGGGACCCAGCATCCAAAGCCCTGGAGGTGACAGTTTTGTGTTCTTGTTAAGAGGATGGGCTTTCTTATCAGAAGCTTTACTGGCTCAGCTTCATCACTTACATGACCTTGGAAATGTTATATAATCTATCTGAGCTCACTATCCTTGTTTTTGAAACAGTTATAATAAAGATTAACTAAGGCAATATTTGAAAAGAGTGCAATGCCTGGTACATGCTAAGTGCTCAATAAACATTGGCTGTTACTATTATAAATGGGTATGAAAAAAGAACAAGATGGGGAGTTGTCCTCCCCTAGAAGCCCTGCTAAACTCTGCTCACCCGCACCCCTCCACTTACCAGTAGGTTGTCTTTTGTCCAGGCACAGCCAGTGACCCAGTCACGGTGACAAGCAGAGAAGGAGCAAAACAGAACAGGGGCTTTGGGTGTCCTCATGTCCCAGCAGAGGAGATTCTGGGTCGGTCACAAGAGAGGGAACAGTTGGCACCACCAGAGGGAAGAGGGAGCACCAGGGCCATCAGGAAGGAGGAAGGGAGGTGAGCAGATCTGGTGCAGGAGGTTTGACAAAGTAAAAAGCCAAAGTAAGTGATGGAAAATGGACGGTTCAGAATCTGGTGTACACAGGGACTGTGGGGTCTAGGGGCTTCCCTAGGGGGGTTGGGAGGCCCCCTAGGGGGAGAGGGCCCAGGGGCTGCATCCTTCTCACCCGATCCCTGCCCCCAGTGGCCAGGCTGCCTCCGTCCATGCTAAAGCTACAGCAGTTCACAGGTCCCTCGTGTCCCCGGAGTTCCGTGCCACAGGCAAAGTCTTTTGTCTTCTGTGGCAGTGTCAGCAACTGCTTTGGCCACAGCCATACCGTGAAATCTTCTGCATTGGAAATAGGGAGAGGGGAAAATTCCTTGAAAGAGGAATAGAGGCAGGCCTGGGAGGCCAAAGACAAAGACAGTCATGAGGGCTGAGGGTGATATCTGAGGGCACAGCTCCAAGGGAGGGAAACAGTGAATCACAGGCCCTGGGCAAGGGTCAGCCATCATGTGAGCACACAGGACAAGATTGCCAGGGGCCCAGATCATTTGCTAACTCCTTACTGCCCCTCCATACCCTCCTCCAGTGCCCAGTGTCAGTTCAGCCAAGTCTACCTGGAGAGCACTGAGGCCATTCGGCATTTTCACCTCAACATGTCTTTCCCCTTCCAAGGAAACTCTTCTCCTTTCACAGCCAAGTCTCCCAGAGAGTGAAAGTTTGATTACAGGGAGTGCAAAGAGGTCCCCCAATCAGGAAAACAAGAAGAAATAGAGCCTAGACCGAGCTCTGATTTTAAATACAAGAGAAACGCATTTAAAGTTATGCTGAAAGTTGTAAAAACATTATGTTTTCATGCATACATATACATAGAAACTGAGGGAAGGTGTATTTGAAGAGAACAATGATTCACAACCCTGCCCACTGCCCAGCAGTACCTGAGGCAGAAGCCAAGAGTTCCTGCGAGGTGGCCAGTCCCAGCACTGGCTTCTGGTGTGTGGACAGGAGCCAAAGAGACTGTAGAGAGAGTTCCTTGAGAGTCCAGCCCTGCAGGGACCCATCTTCTGCACCGCTCACCAACACCGTATGGCTCAGCCAGGCCAGTGCATACACAGCCAGATCCAATGCTTGGCACCAAACCTCCTGGGAATCTAGAAAACAAGAAAAGAGAGAAAGACACTTGGAAAAGGGATCAGGGTAGGGGAGCCCCACTTTCCAAAGGCTCAACTACCTCATCATTCTCTCTTAGGTACCTGAAGAGATTCTGTAGATCCTAATGCCATCTGCTCGGTAGCCGACAGCCACCTGATCACCATGTGGGCTGAGCGCCACGGAGAGGGCAGGAGAGAGGGGGAAGGAACCCAGGCACCCGCGGGGCTGACCCAGAGACCCGGACCACACCTGAACCTGAGGGCCAAGAAAAGAGCTTATACACACCCCACTTCCACCAGGAGTTACAGTCACCCCCACTGGCTTCCAGAGGCTCTTCTGTGAGCTGCCCCTGCACACACCGCACCCCTCTCCCTGTAGCTCACACCAACCAAGCTCCTCCTCAGTCTTCTTGACAAAAGTCCCACCGTTAGCCAAATATCCCCAGCCTTTGCTACCCTCTCCTGCTGACCCAAGCCCAGGCTCAAACCTGACCTTGCCATCCTCTCCAGCAGTCACTAACTGGCACCCAGCTCGCAGGAAAAGGGCAGCAGCAACAAAGCCCTGGTGGGCAGGGAAGGATGCCAGCTGTGCCCCCTCTTGCCAGGCCCACAGCTCCACCATTCTGTCCAGCCGGCCCACAGCCACAACCCGCCCAGGCACATTGAAGGCCAAGGTGCGGACAGAGCCTCCTGGGGCCCCCAGTTCCTACACAGGGAGGTAGAAATTGAAATGTCAGTGTCTACCCTCAACACAAACCTAAACCCACAGATGCAGCTGTCCGCCAGTCCACACCTCCACTCCCAGTGCCCACTGCTTCCTCCCAGGGACTACACGGGACCATCTCACCTTGGTGAGATTCAGCCCATCCACCTGGAAGAAGCTGAAGCTGCCAGCCCAGCTGCCTGTGGCTATCACCTGCCCCTCAGGGTGGAAGGCAACACAGTTCAGGGGCTGCGGGCAGGTGTACTGGAAAGCCAGCTGTCCGTGGACAGTGTCCCACAGCTGGAAGAGGGAAGGAGGAGAATCAGGGCGTTAAACACAGGTGTCTGAGCTTCTCAGACCTAGAGCTTCAGGGCCTACCCAGTCCCCTGCCCTCAGTAGGGAAGGCCACTCCAGATGAAGCAGTCAGCAATCTGCCATGCTCAAAGAATCACCTCACCGAGCTGGTTGTTGAGGGCCACTCGACTCAGGAGTTGAGGGCCACTTTAACTCCCACACCCTCCCGAGTCATTACCTTTAGGCATCCTCCCAGGCACACAGTGGCCAGCAGCTTGTGGTCAGGGCTCATGCAGCAGGCGGTGACTTGGTTCTGGTGCGCCTGGATCTGCAGCACGCTAACCCAGGCAAACAAAGTCAGATCCCTGGGGCTCCCTGGCCATAGGCTCTGTCCTCGCTCCCCACCCCTCCACTCTGGGCTTCTGTCAAATAGGAAGATCCTCACTCTAAGACCTGGGGGAGGGACTCCTTACCGACTAACATGCCGCAGGTCCCAGAGCTCCAAGAGACCATCAAAGGAAGTAAGAAAGAGGGCACTGTCCGAGAGGAACGTGCAAGAGGAGACCCCATCACAGCCACTCACCACAGACTTCTCCTCCTGTGACAGCCAGAGGGAAGCATGGTTCAGAACACACTCCCTTGACCCCCCAGGTCCAGACTCTCCAAGTCCCAACCAAAAAGAAGGCCAAGGCAAGAGGATTCAATCCTGGGCTCCATGCAGTCTACACCAGTCTCAGATGTGGCCCCTGGTCCCAGATCAGGAACACCTGCTTAAAATGCAAAACTCGGGTCCCACTCCAGGGATAGGCCATGCTCAGGTTCAAGTGGGGCTTCACGATGCCAAAGGGACCACATCTCCTCCACTCCAAACCCCAAACAGGTCCCCAAGACACAGAAGGTGTCTACGGGTCTGAGAAGAGCATGATGGGGCAGGCATGTGTTATGAGCGGGGGAGGGGGCTGAAGAGGACAGAGCAAGGTTATGGCTCTGGGACCTACCTCTCCATCCCAATCTATTACCGCCCTAAAGCACTTGCTGTTGCAAGTGTTGTGGTGATTTCCAGGTAACGCACCGCCCTATGTCTTCTCTCAGGTCGTCACCTACCCTAGAATGCCTGCCCTTCTTCTTACATGTTCCAATAACTGAACAACCCAGCTCTCATCTATGTCACATGGCTATGTTTTGCTTCCTTTTTTACCTTGCGTGTCTTATCTTTCAACAAAATTGACCATATGGTGCTCAAATACAATGCCCAAAGCCCCCTGTTCTTTGCAATGTTTAGAACAGTGCCTCAAATGAAAGTGTGCAGCAAATATTTGCTGTGTGATTGACTTTATGACCAAGCTCTTTTGCTCTCCTGAGGGAATTAAAGTTGCTGAAATAGATAGAGTGATTACTGGCGGGTTTGGCTTGCTTAGAGCCTCAGGCAGAGGTGAGGCTTTTCCCAAGGTAAACACTGACCCCGCCCTTAACATCCTACCTGCCAGGTTCTCAGGTCCAACAGGTAAACCGTCCCATTGGCAGTGCCCACAGCTGCTCTTTGCCCATTGGGGGACAAGGCCACCGCTGTGGGGCAGGAGGAAACTGCCAGAGACAAGTTGGAGCTAGGGAAAGAGTAGAAAGAAAGGGAGAAAGTGAGAAAGGAGGAAAAGGAAGCCAACAGGAATTCGTTTCTTCATTTCTGTGCCTGAATCCCCCTCAACTTGGGGATTCTGGTCTAATTTTAGCAAGGGCTGCAGTTTGGTCTCTGGTAAACTGACCAGGGTGTGGGGTCAAGGGTCTGACCTTTGTTGGCCCGCCATCGTCTGGGGTTTATTAAGCCACCGTAGCATGCCCTGGAGCTGCCATCGCTTGGAGAGCTTTGGGGCCTGGCGGCAAAGAGGTGAGTCCAGAGGCTGGTTGGCCGCCTGCTGGAGCAGAAGTAGGGGGTACCGGCTGAGGATTGGAGCCTGCTGCTTCAGGAAGGTGTGGAATACTGCAATGTCAGCTTCTGGAAGCTTTTCTTCCTCGTCAGGGACTGCGGAAGCTACAGATGAGGTGCAGAGTGTCACGGAGGAGCCAAACGGCCTAGTCTCCCACTGACCCCACCACCAAACACCATCTTGTGGTGTGCCTCAAATGGTAAAGCTCAAAGTGTGACCCTCTGACCCCATGTCAGGAACACCTGTTAAAAGTGCAAAGTTTTGGTGCCACTCCAGATCCAAGGGAACCAGAATCTAGGGACCTGCAGATTTACAATTTAAAGAAGTTTCCCAGGTAATTTTATGCCCACTAAATAAAGTTTGCGAACCACCAGTATAAGAGATATAGGCAAAAGGTGCTTTTGGAATCATTTCCTTCTCTTGACATTTTTGACTTGGAATGGAAATTCAGTGACTGCTCTTTCCATTATACTTCCTCCAAATGGGCCCTTTCCAGAACACACCGAGGAGCCCCATATCTCAGAGAAGGGACCGCTCAGTGACTTATCTCACCATAGAGAGCATGGGCTTCCAGAAGTCTAGAGAGCAGGCCCAGTTCCAGGTGTGCAGACACCACATGGAGATTGGTGAGGAACTCTGCCAGAGGGCGACGGTTCCCACTCTGGAGCTGGGAAGTACAGATGGGATTTGTCAGGAATGTGAGGAGGCTGGTGAGGGACGGTCAGTCTAGCAGTAGTAGACCCTTCCTGTGCAACCAGGACCTTGACCTGGGAGCTGGGACAAAGGCCTGAAGGAAGAGGGCAAGAAAACTGAAAGGAGAAAAGTAGAGGGGGTTTGGGACAGGCGAGGGCAGAAGTGATGGTGGTGGCAGTCAAGGGGGAGACGGGTCTCAGAGTAGACAAAGCAGATGCTTGGGAGGAGGTCCCTGTGGCACCTGTGGTACTAACCAGATGGTAGGGTATGTCTGCCAGAGCCTCTGGAGTGCAACTTCGGAAGGTATTTGACTCGTCAGGGTCGCATGTCTTCCAGAGCTGAGCTGCAGGTGTGGACCATGAGAACAAACATTGAGACCAGCTCAGCCCAGATGCATCTCTGAACATCATACTCCTCAGGCTCCCACAGGAGTTATCCACCCCTTGGGGTGGCAGGTAAGGGGCCAGTCAATAGGGGGGCAGGTCTCTAGTCCCAGGCCCCACACTCAGTGCCCTGGGCAGCTGTGGGCTGCAATCACCTGCGAGGAGGATGTGAGCCATGTTCTCCAGTCCTGGCCTCTTCCCATAGCGACATTTAGCTGCTGCTCTTAGGGGTCCATCAGGCAGGCAGAGTCGGGCACCAGGGCGCTCCAGAGGGCCTTCCCCTAGCAAACTGTCCCCATGTGAGGGAGTGGAGTGGAAGGAGGCCTATCAGAGAGCACCCTGGCATAGCTGTGGGTTCCCATTCCCACCTCAAATAGTCAGGGGCAGCCTCTCAGGGTCTGGTAGGTAGGTGGCGGGGCTACACTGAAGGAAGGGTAGGGCTCAAAAACACGAAGAAAGAGTGAGGTAAGTGGGAGCTTAGCTGGGACACCTGTACCTGCGCAGATTCTGAACAAGGTAGGCAAACAGGCCCATGGGGTAGGGGCTCGCTCTGTTAACGGCAGCCACTGCGTCTTCCCAGCTCTTGGTCCCCCAGGGAAATATCCACCATGCACTCAGCACTCCATGTAGCTGATCCACAGTCAGACCTGCAAACCCAAGCTCTCTGAGGCCCTCACCAAACTACACAGTGCCCTCACCCCGGTGACACTCAGTCCTTCCTTGCACCGCTCACTGAGACTCCAACTGAACCAAGGTCATCCAAGCCCTGAACCTCGCCTCTGAGCCGCCATCCCCCAGCACTGACCATTCCGTGTGACCCCCAGGGTGACTAAGGCTCGGGAAAGGAAATCGGGGCCATGCTCCTGCTCCAGGGTGCCCAGGATGTGCTGCAGCAGCAGGGGGACAGTGGCAGGCAGGCTCCGGAGTCTCTCAGATACCTGGGCAAGGGGCAGGGAGAGAGGGATGGCTTCAGTTGTGGGGAGAGCGAAGCAAGAGAAACCAGGGGATGGGATAAAAAGGAAATAAAAACAGGTAGGAGGAAAACGAGTGGGGTGAGGGGAGAAGGAAATGAGTGCTCATAGGATGGCAAAGGCTGAGGAACGGGGATGAAGGAAGCAGGATGGACCCATGGAAATGGGACTAGAACTTAAAACACAAGGTGTCACCAACCTGCTCATAGAGTGTGAAGAGCCTCAGGTGGTCGGTGACCAAGCGCAGGTAGAGGGGCAGGGCCGAGCCCCGCTTCACCAGCAGCAGCTGCATCTGGTGACACTCAGAGGACTCAGTGTGGGAACCACAGTCAACCCACAGGCTGTCCTCAGGCCTCCACAAAGCAAGGCAGCCCCTCCTTGGAGAGTCCCCAGCAAGAAACAGATCACCTCCAACCACAGCCCCTCCCCTCCACTCCATGGTTCAGCCTACACACCCAGTTACCACAGCTTCACCCCTCACCTCCCCGGGACAGGCCCTAGAGAGACTAGCGGGGGAAGGTGGGCTGACAGTATACAAATTAAAGCAATCTTATTAACTTTCCCAGCACAGAGTTCCTGAGAAAAGGAAGGAGTAGGTCTGTGTGGGGCAGCTGGTAGCCTCAGCTCCCTGGGTGCTCAACAGCTCCCAGATTCATCCCATTTACCCATTTACCACACCTAAATCCTACCTGGTTGTTAAAAGGTGATTCCTCCAGCCTCTTCCCATACAGAGCCAGCTCCTGTCTCACCAACTGGACCCTGGCAGATGGCTCCAAGGGCCCCAGGGCCACTGCACGGGCACCTTGGCTCTGCTCAAGGGTCTCCTTCAGGCTTGTGTCACTAGACACACTCAGCACCAGGTGCACCCCCTAGGATATTTGGACAAAAAGGAGGTAAAAGGAAAAGGAGGAGAACCATGTTGAAGAGGCCCTTTCCTCCCTACTGCATCCCACTCCACCTTCTCCTCACACTCACCCGGGGAAAAGTCTTTGGGATCCAGTCTGAGATCAGGTGCCCATGCTGGTCCACCAATTTGTCAGCCCCATCAACGATCAACACCAGCGTCTGCCCAGTTTTTAGGGACTGAGCAAACCTGGGTAGAAGCCTCTGCTGCAGTTCCCACACCAGGGCCCTGTGTGTTCCAGGAAGGACCAGGGTCAGCAGGAGAGGGAGATGCAGGGTGGCATCAACCAGTCTAGGCTAATGGGGGATACACACCGGTAGGTGTTGGGGAGAGCGCTGGGCTCCTGCAGATGGCTGTGCAAATAGGCACAGAGGCGTCTGAGCAGGGTGAGGGCAAGACCCTGGTCAGGGCGGGCCCTTGCAAAGTGGAAGAAAACTAAGGGGGCCACCTTGGTCTCCTCAGGAGCCTGAAGGGCTGACACTAGGGATGCCTGCATGCAAAAGGAACAGAAAAATATAGTCACATTGCACAGGCACAAACTCCCTGCTCCCACCTCCTGGGCCCTCCTGAGCCAACAAAAGCCTTCCTCCCTCCTGCCCAGGCCTCTGACACTCCATACCAAGAAGGCTGTCTTGCCCTGTCCTGACTGCCCGGTCACCAGACTTAGCCTGCCCTGGTGCTGCTTCAGCTGCTGCACTGTGTCGTGAAGAAGGCGCGGCCGGGCAGGACTTGGTGGGTTCTGCAGTTGCCAAAAGGTGGCCTGGACCAAGTCGTCATCTGGGACGGACACTGGCTGCTCCTGCTGGGCCCTGGGCTAAGGGCACAGGGGACAATGACTATGTTTCCATGCTCTCAGGGACCCCAGATCTAAAACTCACAGAGCCCCCATCAAATTACTTTCCAGCCAGGACTACCCAGACTACCCTACTCACTCTCCATGCCCCTAGCCACCAACACTCCTACTGACCTGTAGGTAAAGCTTCTGAATCAGATTCCACACATCCTGCAGAATCAACTGCCCAAATGCCTCCAGCCCCCCAACATAGGGCCGGCCGACTGCCACACCTTCCCATTCACAGGAGTATCTGTGGGCAAAATGAGCACAAGCAGAGTCAGGGTAGGCCTGACTCCCCCCACATCTCCATGCAGGTACTCTCTAACAGAAACGTACACATCCCTCACCTGCGGCAGGTGACCCCTTTCTGTCCGCTCAGGTAGCTCTTCAGTTCTGAGATCTTACGTGCAGCCTCTTCAGACTCAGAAGTAAAGTCAGGTTTCCAGGCATCTGGCACAGAGCTGACCACCAAAGATACCCCAAGTGGGGGTAGACTCAGACCCCAGCCTCTTACCATCGCCATCCTACCCCCACTATCAAACCTGGCTGTGATTCCCTGACTCCTCAAGTGGCATCTCCTGCCATTAATTGCAAGTGTGACCTAGTGCCGCAAAGCACACTCTCTGACCCGTTTCTCTCTTCTAGCTCCCTCCTCCTATTCTCTGAATGTTGGGGCAAGAAGACACTGGTGGCGCAGTGGTTGAGCACTGGGCTGCGAAGCTGCCCGCAGCCTCTATAGCACCAGATCCCCGGTGGGCGAGGGTCCCACATGGCACACAGACCTCTCCTGCCGCACCCGCTGCTCCCCTCAGCAGTGTACTTCATCGTTCTGCCTGTTCTGTTCCCCGCTCTGGCTTTGGTGAATTCTCTCACCCTCCCACACTTCTGACTGTACCCAGTGCTTGTGTAAATACATAAATAAATCTTTAAAATAAAAAAAAAAAAGAAGACATAGCAACTTTGCCTGTCTGGCCTTCTATGAAGACTGAGGTCCCGAGGTACCTGAGGAAGCTGGAATCCCGGAAGTAGATGAGGGCTTGGGCAGAGGGTTGCAGGCGGAGGCCCCGATTCAAGAACTGCATCACCTCCATCTCTGTCACAGAGCGACCTGGAGGGTACTGGTGGGCCTGCAGGGAGCGGGCACAGGACAGGTTGTTCAGTCCTAGGTTATAGTAGCCCTTCTCGGAGATCTGCCCGGACCCCAGGACTCCACTTCAGTAATGTTCCTCTCTCCCTCCAGATACAACCCAATAAATTATAGCCAAGAGCTAATGTCTACTTAATGCCTGTCATACATTGAACATTTTTAAAAATAAATTCTAATTCTATAACAACTCTGCAATGTAGACATCACTGTTTCTCTTTAACATATGGGGAAACAGGCTAGGAGAAGAACAACTTTGCTGTTCCCCACAAAGCCGCACACTGACAAAAGGAACATCAGAACCCAGATTTGACTGAAACAGACCTCCCCTCTGACCTCTCATATACCTTCGGTCAACCTGGAGGTATTTCTCAAAGGAACGTCCTCACCTAGGAACTTATTTCTCAAAGGAACGTCCTCACTTGTCCACTCACAGAAACTTCTACCTGTGTTTCCCTTCACATCTCACTGTCCCAGGGTTCCTGACAGGCCCTGACTTCTCCCCCCACCCCTGCCCCCACCTTTGTTTGCTCTCCAGACCCTGCTCCAACCTCGTCTGCCTTACCCAGCGGAAGTGAGGATGGTCAGGGAGATTGTAGCTGGGGGGCACGTAGCCATAGCGGGAGCCCAGTATCCCCAGAAACAGCTGCGAGTCCTCCACCTCCCGGAGGCACACTTCCAGTTGTCTGCAGGCATGGTGAGGGAATGGAGTCAGGCACACAGGCACAAACAGGAGCTGGGTCACAGCTGACACTGAGCGGTGAAGGCGAGCTGCTCACCTGCACCCAAGGAGAACTCCCTGCCCTGGGACTTCTGCCTTCCCGTGGTTCCAGCCCAGCCCACCTCTGCTCCCCCATTAAGTCCCCTTCTCTGAGCCAGCCCCTCTTCCCTATGGCCCCTTGCACCTGTTCCTTCGGGTTTCTTCCTCAGTGACACCCCAGCGCAGGTCGATGATGTGAAGGCGGATGCGGTGAGGGGCCGCACGGGCCTGCAATGCTGGCAGGACAGACCTCAGAATCAGGTCCCGCTCTCCATGCATGTCCCGGAAAGTGGAAGAAATGAAAATCCGGATGCTGAGCAAGCTGTGGGGAGGCAAAGGGCTGGGCTTGGTGCAGGGGCCCACAACACATTCCTCGGGCGCTGCATACCCTTCAGTGCTGAGCATGAGTCAGAGACGACAGGGGGCAGGGGGTGTCCAGCAGGCCCCCAGAGAATACCCTGTTCATAGCCTCAGCTGCAGAACCCTGCAAATTAAGCCACACCTGCCATTTCTCGTGCACCCCTCCCTTTTCATAGGATAACATCAGGCTTTTACTATCTGCCCAAGGGTTTTTCATGACAACACTGTGAGGTAAATACAACCATTATCTCCATTTTGCTGGTCAAGAAACTACAGTTGTAAGAATGAAGCAGCTAGTCAAGGGTCAAGTTACTATGTGGCAGAGCCATCCTCTCAGGGGGAATGAGGAAGCTGGAGCCTGTATTCCTAAGCCCCTGCCTGGACCATGCTGCCTGCTGCCCTCCTCACGTTCTGCAGGCCAGAAAGGGGCATGTTCACAATCTGACAGTTTCCTGTGCTATAAAAACCTCTGCCTGGGAAAGAGGAATTATAGCTCAGTGAATAAACAAGCAGCAGCTCAACAGGCAGAAGTTCAGTCTCCAGGTTTTGATGGCAGACCCTTCCAATTCACAAAGGCACAGACATAGACTGACCCCGGTTGAGAAACAGGAGCCAAGGGACTTTGCGTATTCTCTTCCAGTGGCCGGAGAGACTGGACCTCTGTCTTTCCCGGGGGTGGTGGAATCTTAAATATTTTGTCCATTTGGCCCACATGTTCTAGAAGACGGGAGGCCCCACGCTCTGCAATGAACCTGGTGTAAACAGTGACAAAATAAGCAAGAGCAGAATACTAGTCACATCAGGAAAGTGTTTGAAGGGAGCAGGGGGACAAGGAAACGATTAGGCTAGATCATGAAGCTAGCTGGCGCTTGTTTAGAAGATGGTCATAAACACTGACGGTAAACTTAAAATAAATGAAGCTGCAGATCCTCATTTGAAGGAAAAAGAGGAACCCAGCTCCAGCCCCTCCAGTTTTGCAATTATCATAGGTTTTTTGTTGAGATAGACGCCAGTGGGCTGGGCAAAGTGGTAAAGGTTAAGGCCATCCCTGTCTTGACTTGATCAGCTCTGCACCAGCTATGAAAGCTCTCTGGAGGAGGAATGTACGTGAAACCTCCTAGTTAGGAGTTGGGGCAATGGGTGATGTACAAAGGAAGAGGCAGGGGGAGAAAACAGAAGGCTAAAGGTAAAGATGTAAAAAGATTTCTGTAAATTTGCCATAGATAAGTATATTTAGCATGGGATTTCTTCTGGCTCAAAAATGAAACAGAGGCCCCAGACAATGAATAGAAGTGATGTGACAACTACTGAATTGTTCACTTAAAAGCAAACAGTGCAATCTCCCATGTCCTCTTTTCTCATTTCCCCTACTAGATGTAACACAAGAATGATGGCTGGAGCTGGAGCAGCTACTTTAAACTATGAGGTAGAAGCAGAGCATCCTCAAATAGTAGAGCAATAAAAAAGGTGCCTGAATTCTTGTAACACTGTGTTGCCGCTAGGCCTAGATAGCTGTTAAAGAGGAATAAACTTCTTCCTTGCTTTAAAAAGAATGTAAATGGAGTAGAGGGCACAGATAATCTCTGAAAGATATTCTAAACAAAGCCTCCAACCCTTTCAGAGTCCATTGTGTACTCACTTCAGTATCCCATCTGAGCAGCCTGTGAGTATCACATCGTTAGGATTATAAGTAGTTGATGAACTGACAAAGGAAGCAGCAGTCACAAAACATTAGAAACAATGCCAGCAACACAGGGTCACTGCCCCCTACCACCCTAGGATGGACACCCAACCTGTACACGTTTAATAGGGTTATTGCTGAGCTGAGGGTAAATGAGTTCTTATACTGGGTTAGAGAGCTAGAAGATTCTAGCCCTTGAAAAATGCAATAGAAGTAAGAGGCAGAGATGGGGAGAGATCCAGTGAGTGGGAATGTCCCAAGCTCAGGTAAGGCAGAGAGGAGATAAGGAGCGCTGTCTTTTGGCACTGACAAGGAGCGTAAAAATCCTTACGAGTATCGTGAACTGAGAACACTAACAAAGAGGCACTTGGAATTCACATTCTTCCAGAAAAGGTCTTTGGCCAGATTTATCAGGTCCCCAAACATATATTCGCCAAAGAGGATGACTCTGTCCACCTGTAAAATGAAAGGGGAGGACACAGGGGGACAAAAGAAATGCTAAAGAACTCAGGATGCTAAGAGAGGAGATCTCTCAAGATACGGAATTAGGAGAATTTCAAGGAGGATGGAAACTACTTCTTTGGAAAGCACTTGGGATTTAGTTGCCACCACACCCTGACCTAGAGGGGCATCAAGACAGAAAACGGGCAGAGCAGGGGCTCGCTGTATCTGGCTCATACCAGCTCCTAAAAGCTGGCTGTTAAATCTGTAGGAATCTGGTGAGCCAGTTGTTAATCATAAGCACTATTAAACAGCAAATTGTATAAATTTACAATGAAACAAGTTATATGAAAGATAAAGGTAATAAATACATGAAACTCACCATTTTCTAATTATGTTACTACCTTTTGCCATTATCCACTTGTGATCATATTTGCATCTACTTTATCTGCATTGTGGAAATACTACATAATGTCATGCTCCTGAGAGTGTCTTCCTAACTCTGCTTCCCGACATCATTCTGGTAGCTTGAAATCAGTCATGGTAGAACTTACACCATGGAAACTCGCAAATGCTATTGACCAATATTTATTTTTCCAGAGAGCTAGTTTTCAACATTTACCAGTTCCCCACTGGACTGGGGCCTTCAATCCAGCAAGGAGCTGATCTGGGTATTGTTCATAACTTCGAAGATTAACTTTGAAAATGAGATGCACCGGTTATAGAGGAAAATGTGAGGGAGGGGAGAGTTTCTAAGGGGCTGGGCAGTACTCACAGAGACTCTTTGAGATGCCAGAGACAGCAGGTGCTTCCCCAAAGCAGAAAGGGACCACTGATCCTCACTCTCAAGCTCCTGAAGGAAAGAGGGTCACAACTAGGTGGTTGCATGGGAGATGATGAGTAAGCCACAAACTCCACAGGCTGCTTGGGAAATCTTCAGCACTTTTACATCCAAGTCTTTCTGACTATTCAGGCTGTTCCTGGGCCCATGTCCATTCATACATATGTGAGCCCGGCGGGGCTGGGTGTCTGACCTGGACTTGAGTCTGGAGTTCGGTGGCCATTTTCAGGATACCATCTCCTGCCTTCAGCACGGCGGTCTTCACTGTGCCATTTCCACAAAGCAGGAGATCTGCATGCTCCGCCCGCGCCATCATCATTCCAATCAATAGCAGCACATAGTTAAGCGGTGGCTGAGTGGACAGGCATCAGGGTGAAGCAAGGCTCCCTTATTTTGGAGTCTACTCTGACCTGTCCAGCCCCAGAGGCCAAACACCCTCACTGGTTGGAGGGAAAGGGGGAAAAAAATCCCCAGTAAGGAGGGGACACTCTCAGCGGTTCTCAGGAAGAGCTTACTGGAGAGGAAGGAGGGGTGAGGCAGGATCCCTGCCCAAATTCAACACTGGGATATAAAGGGGGGCAAGTGAGACATATTTTGGTGACAGAAATTTAGAGAGGATAAAATACCAGCCAAATGTGAAATGCTGATATCACATTCTACAAATAGGTTGAAACCACATTCTAGGAATCGTCCCTGGGAGCCATGTGGGAAGCAAATACATGTCATTGGTTTTAGCGCTAAGTGCTCTTTGGGGGGAACCACGTCAGGGAACAGGAGCTTTCTCAGGATCCCAGCACCCTACAACCCCTCTGCCACCTTTTAATCTTTTTTACCCCTTGTGGGTTGCTCTTGGGGCAGAGCTTGTCTGCTTCAGCATCTGCCAGATACACTAAAATGGTGCGGCCAGGCAGCGGGGGTAGGTTGTGCTTCACGGAGATGTTCGCCGCTGTCTCCAGGGCCTGTCGGTACTGAGCCAGCATCTCCGGGTCATAGGTCCACTGCCTGCAGGCAGGAAAGACACACAAAGGAGCTCAGGGCCTATCTGTTTGCTACTTTGTGGCAAAAAGAAAGTTGAAAATTTGCCACTTACCTATTCAGTGTCCACCCCCTTCCACCGCCCACCTCCTCTGCCAGCAAAGAAGTATGCACACAGCTTCCCTTTGCCCCCTCTTACAGGACTCTTCAAGTCCATTCTCATTCAGCAAAGAACGGATAGTACCATGAGAACATAGACAAATCTAGAATGTGGGGCAATTGGTGATGCCCCTGAACCTGGTCCATAGCAAATCAATGGCATGAAAACAATTAAAAGATTAAAAGAGATTTAAATCTTGAACTTAGTGAAAGAATTTAATGATTACCAGAGGGAACAGCGGGGAGGCAGAAGGGTTGGGGGAGGAAGGCAGATGGGGTACAGGCATGGGTAGTTAGGTGAAGGGCAAGTGGAACATGTGTACATTTGGAAGAGCAAAAATGTAACCCCAAATTAAAACAAAAATAAATTAACAAAGAGATTTAAGAGACCTAGCAACCAAATGCATGTGTATGCCTTATGTAGACCCTGATCTGAATAAAACTGTGAAATGATGCTTTCGAGACAACTGGGAAATTTGAATAAGCCCTAGATAACAAATAAAACCAAGGAATTATTTTAATTTTGTTAGGCATATTAATGAACATTCTGATTATGTAAGAAAATGACCACTTTAAGAGACACATGGGAACTATGGAGAGGTGAAATAAAATATATCATGTTATTTAGCATTTGCTTTTAAAAACATCTTTCGGGCCTCCCTGGTGGCACAGGGGTTAAAGTCAGCACTATCAAGATATTGCCAGCCACTGTGGCCCGATTTCAATCCCTGGCCTGGGAGCTGACCCACATGGTGCAGCAGACCTCTCCTGTCTCGCCCGCTGCTCCCCTCAGCAGTGTATTTCGGTAATCTGCCTGTTCTTCTCCCCACTCTTTCTCTAGTAAATCCTCTCATCTCCTGCACCTCTGGTCTATACCCCAGTTCTTGTATGCATAGATAAATAAAATAAAACTTTAAAAAAGGAAAAAAGATGGTAAACAATGGAATTGGAATTTTAGCAATGAAAACAATATAGTATATACATATGTTGATTTATAATGATGCACTCCTAAAACCTATGTGATACTATATACAATGTTAATTTAATAAAAAATTTAAATAAAACATCAACTTCTTAAAAAAGTAAACAAACAAAAACAGCTTACCACATCCTATGTGGGTAAAGGAAAAAAATGGACCAGGAAAGGAAATGTGAAAAATCTAGATAATCGCTGAATATAGCTAATACTTTTATGAGAGTTCATTATACTAGCCTCATTACGTGGATGTTTAAAATTTTTCATAATTTTTTTAAATCTAGAGAACGCAGTAGTTTCTACTAGTATTATCCAACAGAATTAAATTACAGATAATAAAATTAAATTTAAATTACAAATGTAATTTAAAATTTTCTAAAAGTCACACTTAAAAAATTATTTAATTTCCCTATTAGCTAATTCTTTGTTAGCTAATTTCCCTATTAGCTAACATTTAAAAGCTATTTTCATTTCACATCAGTTAATATAAAAATTCTGAAGGAAATACTTTGCATTCTTTCTCATACTGTTTCAAATACAGCACATTTCAGTTCTGACTAGCCACACTTCAAGTGTTTTGTAGCCACATGTGGCTAGTGGTTGTCATGGCAGCCAGCAAAGGCATACTGTTCAGATTATCCCCTAGGCTTGATTCTTAAATAGGTCTGTGTCCAGCCTTTGGACTGATTTAGAGATTCCTGGCTACTAATTCCTACTAGAAGGTTATGTGAGCCCCATGTTTGTCCTAAATGAAAATGAATGAAGATACTTTTCTTTAAGTGAGACATAATTTTATTGAAAGCATATTCTCAGAGAGAAAGATGCATAGGTCAAGCTGGCAACATGTGATAACTGTTGCTCTTTTTCAGTTGTACTTGATGGGAAGGTTTGCCAGTAGAGAGTTATTCTGCCAAGCCTTGGTTGTATCTACAAAAATACTTACAAAGCATCTATAACAGAGTACTCGGACTTCATCAAGTTTATAGAACAGATTTTGTCTCTGTCTTGATGTTAACTATCTTTATATGTATCAAAAAAATCAGCGAATGGGTCAGAAAAAAAGTATATATAGGGAAAAACAACAACAAACAGAGAAGAAAAGGAAAGCAAGCAATGAACCAGAGCAGAAGCAGAAAGGACACTAGCATGCACTAAGAGAAAGTCATGAATGAGAGGTGGGCTACACAGACCCACAGATTCCATGGAAACCAATAAAACAATCACAGGTAAATGGGATGTCTCCACAGAAGTATGTTTGCTATGTGATTAGAACCAGGCAAGTCTGGGCCATTGGGATGGCTAATAAGCATGTCTTTAGAGAAGAAAAGTTGGGGTTTCCAAATGACTCCCAAGCCTTCTCAAGGTGCTTCTTGTTGCCCACCCTTTGCTCCCAGATAGTAGACACACACACACACACACACACACACACCTGGCCTTCTGTATTTCCAACTTCTTTCGCTTAAGCTCCTCAAACAACACAGGCACCTTCATTGCTGTCCGAAGTTCTTTACGCCGTTGGAACTGATATTTTAGATGTTTAGTTATCTGCCTCATCAGTGTTGTGTTAGAAGGAAACGGCAGTTCTGTGTGGCAATAGGTAAGGATCTGAGTCAAGCAGCTCCTATTCCCTCATCTTGTCTCCCAGTCAAGACCTGTCCTAAGTACCACCCTTAAAGAGGTCAAGTGTCTGCCCACACTATCCCCTGAGGAAAAAAGGGAGGAAAAAAGCTGAAAAATACCAGTGCTGCTTCTCAGCCATTCTCAGACATGAGAGACAAATGGGTTGGAAGAAAAAAGATAACACCTATATTTTTGAGTTGGAAGAAAAGAGATAATACCTGTATTTTTGAGTTGAGCCTCAAGGTTATTGATGGAATCATGGGCATTAAGGAATCTGAATGGAAACTGTCGACTATGGATCACTGTTTTCTGAAAAAAGAGGGGTCATGAGCAGAGGACCAGAAGTTATGAGGAGCATCAGGGGCCTCAGGGATCAGGGAGATGAGAAAAACACTCCATTAGATTTGTGGGAAGGTGGGGAACAACAAAATGGATATTCGGAGAGATACAGAAAATGGAAGAGAAGATTAAAGAAGAAGAAAGTCATCATGTGAGAATGTGACAAGAGGTAAGGGAGATAGGAGGGAAGGAACAGAAGAGGCCTGTTTCTATTATATCAGACTTCCTCTGAAGTGGTTTAACAGCCTTCAGAAGTGTCTCTTCCAGGTAAGTCACTGATCTCAGAAAATAAAAGCAAAGTTCTTATATCTAATCTCTCAAAGAGTTGATGGACCCCCAAACCTGTCTCTCCAAACCCATCTGGTTCCCGCACTTGCTTACAGCACACACGGAAATAATTTGGTGGACATCACCTGCCCCAGCCACTAGAAAAAGCCTGGCTTCCAAGGCTGTAGCCATGTCCCCATACCTTCCTCTGCTTCCTGGACCACCAGCTGCGTGCCCCCCTCACATACCACCTGCTGGAGTCTCTGGAGAACAAGCTTGTGGTGGTGGGCACTGATTCCAGTCCGCAGCAGATTGTTCAGATTTCGAAGCATGGCCATAAAGGGAAGCTTCCCATTGTCTGCAGAAGGTGAGGCATGGGTCAGAAGAGCAAATAAGGATGAATAAGAGAGGTCAGAGACCAGAGCAAGAAATTCTGAGGCTGTGTAGAAAATTCAAGGAGGGAGTGAGAGAATAACATATGGTCTATCATACTCAGAACATATGGTCTATCGTACTCAAAACATCTGGAAAGATACAAATTGTTGGTTTGAAGTTTGGAGCAAAATTTATACAACACTGTGTATGGGGCAGCTGTTTCAATAAACAACTCTGATTATCACTTTGTCTACTACCGCCAAGCTTTGAGACTGGCCTCATCTGGCAAAATAGATTCTGTAATCTACAATGATTTCCAAGCTTTCTAAATGGCTGAAAGAGAAGTTTCCCAGTGTAAGTTTATTTGTTCAGTCATAAATTACATACATGTAGTAGTATAAGCACTAGTTAGTTACTATTTTTTTTTAAAGATTTATTTATTTATTTATACAAGCACTGGGTACAGTCAGAAGCGCAGGAGGGCGAGAGAATTCACCAGAGCGGGAAACAGTACAGGAAGACTGACGATACACTGCTGAGGGGTGCAGCAGGCGGCAGGAGAGATCTACGCGTCATGTGGGACCCTCGCCCAACGACCGGGGATCGAACCGGCGCTACAGAGGCTGCAGGCAGCTTTGCAACCCAGCGCTCAATCGCTGAGCTACCGGGGAGGCCCTAGTTAGTTACTATTTCAAGGCAGAATATGCACTTAAGGGAAGGGTCACCATTAGCAATGAGTGTAAACCCACGTTTCAAATAGTTTTCTGGAGGCTGTTTAAAGTCTTTCTGGCCAAATTCTTCTAAAATATGATTAAATAGTGAAATATTTAAATATAGGTGAAGTTTAATTCAAGTGTAAGTGAAAAATATTTGTACTGCAGCAGAATTTCGCCCCTTTACTTTCTTATTAAACCCAATGATATTAGTATTAACTTCAAGTCAGAGTTTCTTAATAATATTTTTAAGACATGTTAATTTTAGAGGGTTATTTTGGTTAAAACTGAATGAGAATTCTAAATCCAGTTTGAACCAAAGATGTAACATTACGCAGAAACTGAAAATGGAGTGGGTGGGGTTGGGGGCACCACTCTTGCTCAGCAGCAGACTCAGTGACTATAGAGGTTCAATCCGTGTAGTAAATATTAGAAAAACTCCTTCTTTCATATAAAGGTAAACATAAATAGGAGGTGTGATAGTCTTCTGTATACCCCCAGAAGTGCAGCAGACTCCTTTGGGCCTGTCAGCCCACCACATACTCCAGCACTCGCCTGTCCTGTCAGCAAGTTTCATCAGAAGGGCACTGGTGCCCTTTTTTGGGCACTGGTGCCTTTTTTTAAGTTGATGTAAGCCATTTGAATACTAGCTAGAATCTCTTAGCTTTCTTGAATTCTTGGGGTCTTCCAGTCACAATATGATCACCAACTGTATAGAACAATTAGGTTGTGTGCACAGTGTAAATGCTGTGGGGCAACCAAGAACTAATGCATCCTTTGCCAGCTCATTAGGTTTTCTCAATTGTTGCTATGTTGAAGGTTTGCTAGATCATTTTGATAAGAAATGAAGTCTAGTATCGTATTTATGAATAAATTCAATACTTATCCTTCAGATTGAGAAATTCACCAATTTCAACCCCCAAAATTGTCATGGGTCCTGTGGTCTGTACATTGAAAGCTACATTTTATCTTACATTTATACTTATATTTATTTTTATGCTTTACTATAGTTACTTTTATATCTATATGTAGATAAATATATTTTATGGCTTACTCATTTATTAATACATGTATAAAGTTCTTAAAAATACACATACATGTATTCTAGTATATTCCATTACAATATAATTATTTTGCAGTTAAATAATTTTGCAAAAACATCTAGAGACCACTGGACTAGACTATGAGCATTTGCTCAGCTCAGCTTCTGCCATGGGAAAAAGGAGGATGTAGAGATACAGATATATTCCAGAATCATTGATGCATACTAACTGTCATCCAGGCCCCTTTATCCTACTCTGACAAAGTCGTATCAAATACTGGAGAGGAGATAGTCAAGCACATGTGTGTGCATGTGTGTGTGTATGTGTGTTTCAATTCCCCTGTGATTCTGACACATACACCAAAGACTGTCACAAAGCCCAAGGAGTGATAAGCAGCTGAGCAGTTCAAGCTGCCCTGAGCACACTCTACAAAATAAGAATTCTACCTGAAAACAACAAATTCTACAGAAAGGCCTCCCCGATGGCACAGCAGTTGAGCCCTGGGTTGCGAAGCTGCCTGCAGCCTCTGCAGCACCGGTTCGATCCCCGGCTGCTCCCCGGCCACCAGAGGAGGGTCCCACATGGCGCACAGACCTCTCCTGCTGCCCGCTGCTCCCCTCAGCAGTGTACTTCGGTCCTTCTGCCTGCTCTGCTCCCCGCTCTGGCTCTGGTGAATTCTCTCACCCTCCCGCACTTCTGACTGTACCCACTGCTTGTATAAATAAATTAATTAATTAAAAAAAAATTCTACAGAATTCTACAAAAAGAAATTAAGTTAGAGAGTTTTCAAAAGAAAAACATTGACTTAAAATTTTCAAAGCTGAAAGAGGAAGTAAAAGAAAACAAAATGGACTAGAGTGAGCTTTCTATAGTTAAAAATAAACCAACTCCCCTAAAAAAAAAAAAAAAAAAGAGAGAGAAAATTAAGTAACATGGTGCTCCCCACCTTGAATTTTTTTTTTAATCAATGTGGGTAAATTGCCTAAAATTTCCATGTCCTGAATATGGAATCTCTATGGAGATTCCAATACTCACACCTGTTCTACCATGTTTGAATGAATCACACAGACATTGACACAAGTAAAATCAGGGAAGATGACTTTTGTCATGTTGGTAAAGTTTTGTGTAACCCCTAAGCACACCTGAAACAATGATCTCCCTTCAATGCCAACGCAGGCACCACTATCTGCTTTGGTGTACAGGTGGTAGACCTTACAAATCCAGTAATTTTTCATAATGCAACTACCAGGGAAGCGAACAACTGCATCTGCCATGGAAATCTTCTAGTCAGCCTCCAAATGTAGAGGCATGAAGGGAAGGTGAAGGTTGAGGTTACCATACCGATGAGCTCCTCCCAGACTGAAGCTGTGTTCCCTCTCAAGCTCAGCTCCCGCTCCCAGGTCTCCAGCTGAGAAAGCTTCATTCGCTTCCCAGCTTTGCTGGAATCCCATGGACCAGGGAGGTGACTTTGAGAAAAGACCTCCAGGGTGGGAGGGTATCTGGAACAGAGAAGGAAAAGTTTATCATTTCAAAGTCAATTAAAAATAACTCAGAAAAGGGCCTCCCCGGTGGCACAGCGGTTGAGCGCTGGGTTGCGAAGCTACCTGCAGCCTCTGCAGAGCCGGTTCGATCCCCGGCTGCTCCCTGGCCACTGGAGGAGGGTCCCATATGGCGCGCAGACCTCTCCTGCCGCCCACTGCTCCCCTCAGCAGTGTACTTCAGTCCTTCTGCCTGCTCTGCTCCCCACTCTAGCTCTGGTGAATCCTCTCATCCTCTCACCCTCCCGCATTTCTGACTGTACCCAGTGCTTGCATAAATAAATAAATAAATAAATAAATAAATAAATAAATCTTTAAAAAAAAAAAAAAACTCAGAAAAGATATGTCAATCAAAACCAGTCATGCTTGTCAGCCATGTCTACCCACGTTTATGTTGCTGTGGTTGAGAAGTACAAAGTTGGGGCCACAGACGCTGAAGTCATGAGTTTACCCAGCAGAATGTATGTCCAGGGTATTTCTCACCTGCAGCCCAGCAGGGCCTGGACGTGCTGTGCAGGTTCCCGGATATGCAGTCGCTGTACCAACTTCTTCAGGGTGAACCTCGGTGGGCTCTTTCTCTCTGGCACTGCATTGTAGGTTGCCTCAAACTGTGAAAACATCCCCAAGTCCCACAGGGATCATTTAATTGTGACCATGGTCATTTTCTTCAGCAAACAGGCCCAAGACCATCCTGTCAATATGAGGTCATTTCTTTCCCCAAAGTAGATTTGGGTCAAGAGTATGAATAGTGGGTAAAAATATCCAGCAAAAAGAGCTCCGGGGACAGGCATGAGATGGTACCTATTTGGGATCTCTATGTTTCATTGACCCCAGACTGAACTATAAACGGTTAACATGGGATGATTGTGAAAAACAAGATGGGGGATAGAATGAACAGAGAACTCCTTGTGCTTAGAGGAAAAGGGAAAAGCAGCTCAATTTAAAACACTGAGACAAAAAAAAAAATAAACACTGAGACTCAGAACAAATCAATGAAGGAATGGTCACAACACACGCTTGGGAGTTAAAAACTGAGAGAAGTTAGCTTTCAGAAATTTTTATGGTAGAGAGCTACATTTAGAATGTATTCATAAGATGAAGAGCAAAGATCAGTTGTGAGAACATGTACTCAATGAAAATATACATTTTTCTAATAAACTATTTAATGTTGATGATAGCACTAGTTAATACTTATTCAATTCCAGATATTACTAGGAATAGTCTAAGTAAAGAAATTCACTTAACACTTGCTATTGAAGGATGAAGTACTGCTATTATCCCCATTTTACATCTAAAGAAACAGGGAGAAGAGGGTACACCATTGGCTCAGGTCACACAGCCAGCAAGAGGTGGTGGTGGGATTCAAAACCAGGTGATATTGGGCCTCCCTGGTGGCGCAAGGGGTTAAGATGCAACCTATGAAGCTGTCCACAGCCTTTGCAGCATGAGTTCAATCCCCTGGCTGGCCAGGAAGCAACCCACATGGCACAGCAGACCTCTCCTGACTCGCCCGCTGCTCCCCTCAGCAGTGTATTTCAGTCAATCTGCCTGTTCTGTTCCCCACTCTGTTTCTGGTGAATCCTCTTACCCCCCACACCTCTGGCCTGTACCCCAGCTCTTGTATGCATAAATAAATAAATCTTTGGAAAAAAAAACAACAGGTGATATTAACCATTCAGGGTAGTTATTAGTCATTAAAATAAAATAAAAAATTGTTTGATTTGTTTTAAAACTACCTATAGAAGATGGATATTTTACAACATTTTAAACTAATTTATTCAGCTGAATATGCCACCACCAGTAAAGTATAATACTAAGGAGAGCAAAATGGGGGGGGGGAGGGGAAGGGTGGAAATGAGCCTTTCTCAGATTTCTCAAAATCTGACCCCAAAATCACAGTGAAGACTCCCCAGGTAGGAAACTGGCATGTGCTACCACACCCACTGTTAGTATTTCTAAACCAAATAGAATTCCATTTGTAAATATCAATCCAGAAAAGATTGCACATATAAAAGCTGCAACAAGGCACTCACCTTCACCTGCTTCTTTGTAAAAATCTTCAGGAACTTTGGCAAACATTCCATTGTCTCAGAAAATGGCTTCGCCATCTTTTGTAGGGCACAAAAGCAGCAGTTTCAAAAAGGGAAATGGAGGCTGTCCCCGAGACACCCATTCCAAGAGCCCAAAAGCCATTTCTACCAAAAATGAAGCCAGTAAAGGAAGAAACAAACACCCCTATCTGCCCCCTGAGTTCTACCCGGCACTTACGCATTCCTCTGACTCTTTTTATTGCTGGGAATAGGAACATGTTAGCACTGACCCCCAGAACACATGCTCCCTCATCCCTCCCTTTCCAGAGAAAAGTCTGTGAATGATCAGGGGTAAAAGAATACTGACTGGAGGACGGGGAGACTTAAGTGGGCGTCTCTTGGCTCTGTGCTTCCGAGGGTTATACTTAGCCAGCTGGTACTCGTCAAACTGGGCAAATTTTTCAGTCATGGCAGCTCGTAGGCAGGCGGGCAGTGGCACCAGCTTCTTCTCCTCACCTTCAGCCAGTTTCTGTCAGAGACAAAGTTGCAGGGAGGGCGGGGAGCAGAGGTCATCAGGGTGAGACCCAAACAAACCTTCCAAAATAAAATAGGACCACTTCATGGGGTTACATAAGAGCAAAGAACAGGGTGTGAGGGCCAGCCCTAGCTCTAAAACAACAATGTCTCGCAGGTACCAGACCACCCAACAGACTTCTCTGGCTCCACAACCAGCCCAGTACAGGGAGAAGCTGTGCTGTCTGGGCCCCAAGGCTGAGGACGCCTGCAGGGAGGCCGAGCAGCCTCGGGTCTTCTCCAGAGATGCAGTAAGTAAAGAAAGGGAAACAAGAGAAGGCCAAAGCGCAGAGAATTGAGTGTCATACCTGATAGAACTGGGCTACTTGGATCCAGTCAGAAGGCAGCTGGACGATGGCACAGAAATATCGTCGCAGGTGGGGGCGGCAGGCTGGCAAAAAGGCAGCAATGGCCAAGACTTCATTGGCCACATCCCGGACATTCAGTTGCTGTCTGGCATATAATGATGCCTAGGGCACAGTGGGGGGAGGTTGGCATCTCAACCTGGTTCCATGGCTTCATGCCTTAAATCAACTTGTTTATCTAATCTGGATGCATAAAACCTTTTTGGAGCCCTCCATGTTGTCTATAAAATATAAAGTACAAGTGCCTTGGTTTTCCAGTCTACATGCCCCATAATCTTGCCCATATAAACCTCTGCAGCTTGTCCCTTCCTGAATCTACTGATTGCCTCCCAAGTCAACCACGCCCGTCTCCCCTTGGCAGACCTCTCACATCAATAGCTATCAAAACCTTACCCAGGGATCAAATTGCTGATAAAAGCTGCCATCTTCCAGTGTCTCATAGAAAACAATTTTCCCCCTCTTCTCTGCTTCTGAAACATTCACTATCTACAACTCCATTTGCATTTATATAATATTTGGGAGTGTTTTGCCTGCCTCCCTAGCAATACCACAAGCTCCTTAAAATCAGATCCAAGGGCCTCCCTGGTGGTGCAAGGGGTTAAGCACAGCACTGTGAAGCTATCTGCAGCCTCTGCATCATAAGTTCAATCCCAAACCAGCCAGGGAGCTACTCACATGGTGCAGCAGACCTCTCCTGACTCGCCCACTGCTCCCCTCAGCAGTGTATTTCAGTCATTCCTCTTGTTCTATTCCCCACTCTGTCTCTAGTGAATCCTCTCACCCCCACACTTCTGGCCTTTATCCTAGTTCTCGTATGCATAAATAAATAAATCTTTTTAAAAATCAGATCCAGGTCTCATTATGTCTGTTGGTATGACTTTCAAGGCCTAGCACTGTGTATTCAGCCTGTGTATTTACTAAGGAAACAAACCCTATAGCACTGTTTCTCAGTCCCATCTCCACCCTCTCCTCAAAGAACCCTTGGGGGCAGGCCTCAGATACACCCTAAGCCCTTACTCCCTTCCTAAATGAAGTTCCCTCTGCTCCTAGTATGAGGTTTATCACAACCCCCCACACACCCAAGCCATGCTTGCCATCTCTCAGCTTTGTGTTCCCATTCCCTCCTTCATGCACAATACCTTGAGGATAAATTCAGGTTCCAAGGGGGCAAGTTCACTACAGACTTCAAGGAGGGTAGGGCCATCTGTCTCTTCTACATGTGACACCACAGCAGAGCACAGCAAGTGCATTAGAGCCAGCTGGGGTTGGGAAAGAGGGAAAACAAGGAAAGGGACCCTAAGGACCAACTTAAGCATCCACTCAGGTCAACATCCAAAATCAAGAACAGAGAGAATGAACCCCATATTTGGGAAGAGGTTTGTCCAACCAAGGCTAGAAAGGGGGATTAGGCAGTGAGAAATAAGAGCTGTGGAGGGGATCTGTTCAGCCTTTCATCCCCCTCTCAGTCTGCACCAGCCCTCCCTTCCGCCACCACCAACCTCTCCCCGACTCTGGAACCTCACCTTTTTTTCCTGAAGGACCTGGTCAGTGAGCCCAGGTTGAGATTCAGAGTCCCCAAGGGCCAGCTTCAAGTCCATTCCCTCCTTTTCATCGTCCTCTCCCAAGCTCAGGCTATACAAAGGCATTCGAGTCTCTGTCCATTTCTCCTCTTCTGGCTCTTGCTCTTCTGAAGACGACAAATGACCCTGCAGGAACAGCTGGTATTACTCACAGTGTGTACCCAGAGACCCTCCACCACACCTGAAGGCAGCAAGCGGGGATAGGAAACATCCATATTGATCTTCCGGCTCTTGAACTCTTCTCCCCTTTCACAGCCACACAAGCCACTTTCCCTACTTGACCTTTCGAGTCTTAGCTCATCAGATGCTTCATGATCTTCTCCCTGCCTTCATCAACTTGTGGATGTCATAGTCTGGGAGCCTTAGTGATGCTACTGAAATATTTTAAAGTCAGAAAAAGGGCCAAGTCAATCACCCAGTAATTTTGGACTGCTTAACCTCTGAGCCTCACTGTAGTTACCCTGTGAGGTAGATTTTCATAGAATTCATTTTAAGGGTGAAGAAATGAGACTCCAAAAGGTTTAATTTTGCCAAAAATTATACGGCTTATAATCGGCAGAGATAGCATAAGGCCCGGATTAGCCTTTTCCCTCAGTCTATATCCCAAATCTATGCAGAAGCAATGTGATTCCGTCTTCCACCAGTTTTGGATCTGTGTGCTCAATGTACTCAAGCAGATGTGCCTGGTAGGCTTGTGTTTACATACGCACACGCAGGCAAGTGGGCTCATGCGCCCTCTCGTGCCCGAAGTGAGATGTGAAAGTACTTGACTGACTGTGCTACTGCAGTACAGTGCTGGCTCTCCACCCCGCCAGAGGTGTTCTGAGGACAGTACCTGTTTTTACTCTTGTCTAGAATATTTGAGCCAGATCTACAATAAGAGTAATGATGCCAATGAAGATTGTCTTGGTGGAAAGGGAAGCTGAGAAAGACTCTGAGGCGCTGAAAGCAAGGGGCAAGAGCATCCACAGACATGGCTGCATTTGACATGAATGCTGAGAGCTATTACCAAAGCTGTTCCCTGAGCACTCTCTGTGGCAGAGATGGATTTCAGGTCCCTGGGGTAGGTCAGGAGGTTTATTTTCTCAGAGAGGCACTGAGGCTTCCGGCTTGCAGGCTCAGAGAGCAGACAGTTGCTGGTATTCAGGCTGGAGAGATCAGCTTGCAGGAGGGGAGATGCCTGGAGGCACTGGAGCAAGGAACTGGTAGACACCGAGGTCTTAAGAAGAGGGAGAGTGTTCAAGCACCGGTTCTCTAAGGAAAGGACATCTGGGCGGACAGACAAGTGCCCATGTGGTTTCCCCACAGTCTTCAGGTCAGGAAGCAAGGCCAGGCACCGGTTCTCTAAGGAGAGGATGTCTGGATGGGCAAACAAATGCCCATTTGGTTTCTCCATCCTTGCAGCCAAATTAGTATTTGTCTAGAGAAAGGGAGAGATGGATGATGAGCAACTCACTGCACTGGGAGCGCATTTGCCCTGGAAGCATATCTTTCCCTGAATCACCCCCTCCCCTGGTAATCCCAGTGACTTATGGGCAGAGAAAAAAACAGTATTTCTTTTCTAGGACTGGGTTCATCAAAGGAAAATTCCAGGGGACAGGAGTTGGGAAAAGTAAGTCAGAAGCTTAAGAACAGAGAAGTTTAAACAAAATAAGTGCTGGAGAGGAAAGGAACATGCTCTCTTCTGAGTGGGTAAAGGAGACCCTCGGGCTATCAGTGTGATTCCCTAGAATGTGCACTGTGGATTCTTAGCTCCAGAGAAACAAACAATTAAATGAAGTCGTCTATATTAACCACCTCTTTGACCAACTAAATGTGATTTTGTCCCCATTATTCCTGCCAGGGTGTCCTCTTGTAACTAACAGAGTTCTTGTTACTACAAGAATTGATATATCTTCGCCTTTATCTTCACCTCTTGAGGAGAATATGACAGTACTGATCTCACTGAAATTCTTCCCTTGGCTTCCATGATGCTACCATCCTGTTTTTCTTTTTCCAACTCTAGCCTCACCTTCTTGGGGGTCTCTACTACTCCCTAAATGTTGATACTCCTTAGACGATATACCAATCTTTGTATGCATGTTCCCAGGGTCATCTCACTCACTCTGCGGTCCCAAATGCAGTCCCAAATAACATTTCTATGTTGGCAAATCACAAATTCAGTCCTTGACCTAGAACTCTCTTGGGAGCTTTCTAGTCATGTACCTGTTTACCTGTTGGACATCTTCATTTGAATGACTCAAAAGTACTCAAAACTCATTCCAAATGTATCAATGACCCGTCCCTCGACTCATCCCCAAATTCAGCCCCCTTCTTTGTCTCCTCTGTTGAAAGGGGTTTGCGTTTGAACTCTGATTTCTCCACTTGGAATCATGGGAAAGTTTCTGAAACTTTCTGCACCTCAGTTTCCTTCTCTGAAAAACTGACGTAAGTACCAGCCTCAAGGAGTTATAGCATACCTGGCACTCAGTTCAATAAATGGAAGTTACTGTTATTTGTTATAATGACCAAATCATCTGCCAAATCTATTATTCTACTTCCTCCATGTCTCACTAATCTATCTACTCCTTTCCATTCTGCCTTTGTTGAATTCCTCCAATCCGTTCGGTGATACATGGTATGTGGATATGTCTAAGGAGCTGGTGACACACACACCAGTCACTGGTTACGCCATCACCCTGTTTATTTTCTCTTCTAGGTATGTCAAATTGGCATGGGGATTTTCCTGAGCTGAAGGTAATCTTGACCCCTTCAGGGTCAACAGGCATTTTTGCCTCTCCACTACCTAGAAGAATTTAGATAAAGAAACTTGCCCATAATGAAAGCTGTTATTAGAAATAAATTTTTATGACCTATCTGTATGGCAGGGCAAACATCTAAATTACTAACCATCTGCTCTTCTCATCACCCTGTGATTTACCCTCCTCCCCTTGGAAGTCACAGTCCCCATTCTGGGCTCAAGATGGCATATAAACTTTCTTCTGCCTGTCTTCAGAGCCCGCATGTCTCTCTGGGTTCCCTGTAGGTACAAAATTATTTTTTTTCTCCTGTTAATCTGTCTTTTATCAATTTTATTAGTAGATCAGCAGGGGGAAAAAATATTAAAAGGGAAAATGTTCCACCTGAACACCAGAAAGGACAGGAGATCTTATCTTGGACATTCCATGGGCAAATTACATCAGCAACCATGGCCTCTAGGTACAGTTCCCTCATCTCTTTGCACTACATGAACATTCCTGAGTGGGGAAACTCAGAATTGACTCAAGATTAAAACAAAAAAAAAAAAAAAAAAAAAAAAAACTCAAGACAAAAATTAAGTTAACAGAAAAATACAATTAAATACTTTCTGGACCCTGGCGATTGCGGAGATTCAGTTGAACTACAGATGAAAAGTAAAAATCCCAGAAAAAAACCCCGCCCTCTAGTTTCATTCTCCAGAGATAACACTGCTAATAGTTTTATAGAAACTGTTTCAGCCATTTTCTATGCATATTCAAATAAATGTAATGTAAATACTCCAACACTCCATTTTTTTCTGTTTATTTTGCTTTGCACACTATTCTGCACTTAGAGAGCTTGGAGGCCCTGCCATGTTAACACACTCATTCTCACCCCACTTCGGCGATATGACACCCTGCTCTGTTTATGCTCGCCCAGGGTCCCAGCTCCACAAACGGAGCTCTGCCCCCAGAGCTCAGGGAAGGCAGTGACTCATTCTCACACGGTCTCTAGTCCTCGCCTCATCCCGTGTCCTTTCCTCCCCTGTCCCTCCCATTCTTTTTCCTTTTCCTCTTGCTTTCTCACCTCCCTTCTCACCGTCCCCTTCACCCCTCCGGCCCCTACCCCCCATCTCAGGCCGTCACCGACCTGCCGCGCCAGCCCTTCCCGTCCGCTCCCGACCGCGGCACCCGGCGCCCCGGACCCTGCGCCCCGCCCGGCGTCTACCTGCTCCCGGCCCGCCGGGGCCGCCGGGCTGGGGAGCTGATTGTCCCGCGCGGGGCGTCCCGGGTCTCCGCAGCGGGAAGTTGGAGACGGGATCGCGCCCCGAGGGGGGTGGAGTGGAAACCAGGGCAGCGGCGGGGCGCGGAACTGCGCCCAGACCCAGCGCAGGCGGACGGGAACGCGGGGCGGGGCGCGGGGCGCGGGGGCGGGGCGGGGCGCGAGGGCGGGGCGGGGGCGGGGCGGGGGCGGGGCGCCAGAAGCCTGGGCTGCACCCCGCCAGCGGCCTGCGGGGCCCGGAGATGCGAACCCAGAGGACTTTGCCCCTTGTTCTGGGGCCGGAGTTTAGTGGCTCCCCGCACCCCCATAACTTCCCTCCATTTTCCCTCTCTTTGATTTTCTTTTCTCTAGTTCCTAAAGCTCCCCCTTACCCCCACCCACCAGATACCCCTCTTTTGCTAAATTTCCTCTCCTTTCACCTGTTCTATCTTTTTTTTAAATATTTATTTATTTATACAAGAACCGGGGTACAGATCAGAGGCGCAGGAGGGTGAGAGGATTCACCAGAGATAGAACAGGGAACAGAACAGGCAGACGAAACACACTGCTGAGGGGAGCAGCGGGTGAGCCTGGAGAGGTCTGCTTCGCCATGTGGGTCGCTCCCTGGCCGGGGATCGAACTGGTGCTGCAGAGGCTGCGGACAGCTTCACAGTGCCACCAGGGCGGCCCCTCACCTGTTCTATCTTAAAACACTTTCTCGAGGGGCCTCCCTGGTGTGGCAAGGGGTTAAGCACAGCACTGTGAAGCAATCTGCAGCCTCTGCAGCATGAGTTCGATCCCCAGCTGGCCAGATTTCAGCGTTTTCGCAGCCGATCTGGACAAGTGGTTTGCTGTATGTGTGTGTTGGGGGAGGTGGGGAGGAGGTAGGGGGGGATGGGATCCAAAACAGGTGGACTCCATTATCCTAAAATTACTTTGTGAAAACAGGTTTAATAGGAAACACAAAGTCTAAAACTATGACTGTAACAAGATATAGATATGGCGTGATTAAGGCCGGATATATGGAAAGCATAATCTTCCCTTCTGTCAAGGAGATATCCTGGGATGACAGAGAATGTGGCTGAAGCCATCCTGAGTGGTGTACCTGGCACTGTTTCCCAGAAGGTGGGACCAGGCTCAAGTAAGAAACAAGTGATGGTTATATTACCTGACTGTGGGTCCTCACTCCGCTTAAAGGGGACTTATACTGCAGGCACACACAAAAGGTTAACAAAAGGTTTATTTACAAGGGAAGGGGAATGAGGAAATGTACAACTCAGGGAGAAAAGAGGGAGATAAATTCTTAAATGGGTCCTGCCCTTTCCTCTAACCTGGAATCCCAAATGACCCACCAAGACCAAACCTGCCTGGCCAAGAGCAGAGCCAAGTGCCCAAGGCCATACTAACATGGCTGGACTTATTTACAAACAGAGAAAATGGCTGCTTAACTCGGCCCTTAGGTCCTGCAACTTCCCTTTGGGAATGATGGGATCTGTAGTTCCCACTATCTTGATGGAGTGAGGGTGGCATCCACAAAGCCTGTATGGAGTTTGCTCAGGACATCCTTTCCACCTAACAGTTAGGACAGTCATGGTGGTGCTGTTTCAAGAGCAGGGCCTAGTGCAAAACAGATTGTCTTCTGGAAAATGTGATCTCTTTCCTTAGGAAGGTACATTTCAGTCTTTGTTAACAACTGAAATTCAGCTCCAAATTGGGGCACCCTATCGTCTCAATTTATTCAGTCAGATCCCATCTTCCTTCCTTTGATGCCGCCCTCACCACCTACCCCATCCATCCCAACAGTCCCTTTTTATAACAAATACTTTTATGTCCCCCTTATAATCCTGAACAGCAATTTGTAAATAATCTAATTTACCTACACACTACTGAAAAAATTACAAACTATCTAAAGAGACAAAAGAATAATAGAAGGAAGGTGATTCCTTATAAAATATTGTGTTTAGATATGTAAATATTTGGGCAGGACATTTAAAAAGACAGCAGTCAGCACTCAGAGCTATGTATCTCTATCTAGAATCACCTTAACTAAAACCAGATCTTTTGCTCACCACCATCACCACCACCACCCACCCAACTTAATTTCTGATTCAGTAAGTCTGGGATAGGATCTGAGAATTTTCATTTCCATTTTGAATTAATTTGAATTAACTTTAGTATATAGTGTAAAATGGCCATCTGGTTTCATTCATTTCTTTTGCATGTTGCGAAAGAAAAAAGTTTTCCCAATGCCCTTCATTGAAGAGACTTTCCTTTCTCCATTGTATGTTCTTTGTTCACCTCTTTATTGAAGTGTTTTATTGTGCGTTTCTTGTTCTTCCCCACTTTGATTCAACCAGCATCATATTCATCTATCAAATGGAAAGGTAGTATGTAAAATATATAAAACATGCCTCCTTCTGAAATTTCATGATCTCATGAAGGAAATAGATACACTCAGAATTCACAAAAATACAAGGCATATTATGAGAAGTGCTATATTCCACTATGAGCAAATTACAGGGTTATGTGGGAGAGCTAACTTCCTGAAGGGAACAGACTTTGAACTGGGAAGTCCTTCTGTAAAGGACTGAAAGAGGAGTGATCTAGGGAATGTAAAGACCAGCTGTTTCACCAGATGATTTTTTTCCTTTGTGAATAATTGCCTTTAGATTCATAGTTTGTTTCTGTTCAGTCTGACTAACTTTAAAGCATCACATGTTGCAATATATGGACAAGGGCTTAATTGGTAGCACTCAGCAGCACAGAAGTCATTCTGGGCCATCTAAAAGGCTCAGGAGCCTATCAGCAGGTTACAGGAATCTCAGGGCTTTCTCCCTGCTGACTCCTCTAATTCAGAATAACCCTGCATTTGTTTTCTGGTCTGTTGACATTCACAAACATTTTTCTTCACTTTCCTCCAATGGGTATTTCCTACTGTGAGTCATTCTTCCAATTCCAGTCTTTCTTACCAAGTACAGTAAATTACATAAGATACAAATTTTTTGGCTCTCTTCCCTTTCAGAAGTGCAGTTCAGCTTCAGTTAACAGTCAGCTGAGCTGTACTTTCTAGCTTCCCCACCAGCTGATGTAAACAAAGCTGTCTTGGTTGCTCTCAACCACCCTTGTGTCATCTACCCACTCAATACAAGCAAGTAACTTCCATCAATAAACATGGAACAGAAGAACCATTTAGTTGAATCCTGACTAATTTTAAATGAAACCAGTGACACATAAAATGATGAGAAATACAATGAAATGGTTGCTATTTTAAGTTACTGGTTCGGGGGCTGTTTGCTCTGCAGCTCTAGATAACCAGAACACTATGTTTATGACTGGTTTACATCAGATTGTTCTGTGGTCATTCCACTCTCTTTAAACCTTATTAATTAGTTTTTTGGGGCTCCCTGGTGGCACAGTGGGTTGAGCACAGCGCTGTGAAGCTGTCCACAGCCTCTGTACTGCGGGTCCAATTCCCAGCCCGCCAGGGAGATAACCACAAGGTGTTGCAGACCTCTCCTGCCTCACCCACTGCTCCCCTCAGTAGTATATTTCCGTCAGTCTGCCTGTTCTGCTCCCCACTCTGTTTCTGGTGAATTCTCTCACCCTCCTGTGCCTCTGGCCTATACCCCAGCTCTTGTATAAATAAATCTTAAAAAAAAAACTCAGTAATTAGTTTTTAACATATTGGTCTTGTGCAATGAGTGAAATTGCTCAACTTGGGAGGTGGGTTGGCTAAGGTAGAGACCAACCTATTAGAAAACATATATGCCTGGACAAGGAAACTCATATCCATGGAATTGGTATACCCTCTCATCATTTATTCATTCAATTCATTCATATTTATGGGTAATGTCAAATTAATCAATATCCATACTATCCCCTGCAATGAAGTCATATTTCACTAACAGCTGTTCAGCCCCAGACTTAGGGTCAAGTAACTAACTCTACGCTCTATGAGGTTCCATACTCCCTCCTACCCTTGTGTCCTAGTAGTTGGTTTTTGTAGTCAAGGAAATGGCCCTGTTTCTTAGTCTACAGAGGTATTGAGAAGAGGTCTTGATACAAGATAATGAACAAATTAATATCAATTTTCATGTCCTCCTGGAACATCAAAGAATTTTACCCCTAATAACCCCTGCTGTCTAAAACTCAGTGCTGGCTCCTTGTATATTAGCAAACATGTGTTTGAACAGATTAGGTGATTGAAGGCCATCTGGAATGGCAACATTCTACATTTGAATCCATAATGAAAATTTGTCCAAATTAACTAGAAAAGTGGCTTTGGTCAGGCACTGTAGCCAACTATCATCAGAGCCAAGCCTCTGAACTCCCTTTCTTAGATGCACACTAGAGGCTGTTGTAAGACCTGCTGGACCTGCAGTCATTTAGGTGATGAGGAGCTGACATTAACTTTAGCTTTTGGCAGATTCATAAAGAGAAAAAGTGAAACCATCTGGTCTATCGGAGAGGGGCCAGAACCCATCTTATAATCAGATAATCCCTTAGTCCTGCCTCCTGTGAAGGCCTGGGAAAAGGAGTGTCATGCTGTTGACTAGCGATCCTAAAGGCTGTAAACAGAGCCTGAACAATCCTGTCAGTAGCTTGCTAGTCACATTTTAGCAAACAGCTGTTGTCCTTTTCCTTACTACTTATTCATTTCTCTTGGCCGGTAAGTCCAAAGGGTACAGAAGACTTGCCCAGGTTGAAACAGCTGCTCAGAATGGAGCTGGGGCTAGATCACAACTCTCCTGATTCCCCATCCAGCACTTGACCACAGAGCACCTGCTCCCTTTGATGTTACTTTAGCATTATTGCCTCTGTGTGACCACTGTTTACATAAACTGTCTCTTCCATGAACACGTTAAAAGTGTCATAAGTCTTACATGAGGGGCCTACCCAGGAATAACAGACTCATATAAAAATATAATCATAATAAAAACATGATTAGGACACCTGATTTTACACAGGATGAAGTGAGTGATGCTTCTGGGTGGATAGGGCATTTTGGTTTTTTTTTTTTTTTTTTTTTTTTTTTTAAATATGCTCTTTTTTTTTTTTAATTTATTTATTTATACAAGCACTTGGT